TCTTTTTCAACTACCCATTAAAACCTTATGCAATTTTTTCCAGTATCCTGTTTCCAACTTCTATTGTATTCTTTCTTATAGGGTTTTCGTTAAGTTTAGGACGTTAACCCTCTTCTATTACAGGAAGTATTATTGACTGGTTTTCAATATTAGGCAATATGAGCTTGGTAAGATATCAACAGCAATAATATTTATATATTTGTTCAAATTAATTACTTGGTTGATGAACATTGTTTTAGCCTAATCAAAACCCAAAAATGTTGTTTTCATTTTTCCTTATTTATGTAAGAGATAATATTATTTTTGGAGTTTGTGAGTTTTTTTACTTTGGTATCTGAATGAAAATTGTTGTCAATTAAGTGTTTAGATTTTTATATATATTTTTTAATTTGGTGTCTTCTAATGATGTGAACAATTGAAAAATACAATAAAGCTATATGAGACCCACATATGCCAAGCTAGAAACTTATTTGGCCTAATATTTAATCCATATCATCATGCCAACGTGGCAAATGTTTGGAAATAACTATCCTAACCTCATTTAATGCTTAAAACCCTTACATATCATTAGTTCAGCTTATCATTTTCGTCCTCATCCCCATCTCCATCTCCATTCCACCTCCACGTTTACGGCCACCGTATTTCTTCCAAAATCTTTTCTCTTCTAAAAAAAGCAAATCCAGAATAACACATTCAGTTGCACCACCACTCACTATCACCTTTGATTCTGATATCTTGCTGCCACCATTGATTCTGATATTACTACCGCCACATTTAAAACGCTATCACAGAAGTTTGCAAGGAATGGTGAGTATGTTAAAGTGGTAGGTTTTAGTAGTTCGCATAGTGAGTCACCAGATTTGGATAATAAAAATCCGTCAAATAAAGAATCAAGTGAAATGGCAAGACAAGAGGAGGTGATTCAATCACGCCGTTGTCCTAATGTTAATACAAACGAGAAGTAATAAAAATTAATATCAAATAATTTTGTAAAGGAAAGGTCAAATCTTGGACTAAGTGCTAATATTGTTAAAAGAGAAGGCCCAAGATAGATTTTCTTTTTTAATTTTAATTTTTATATATTTATTTATTTATTTATTGGTTTTTGAGTGAGGATCTGTTTGACTTGTTTGAGTCCACATGATAAAGTAGATGATGAAGTTTAATTATAAATATATAGGAATAGAGAGAGCTTTTACAAAAAAAATTAAATAATTTTTTTGTCTTTTGGTAATAGTTTTATTAAGGGTTTCAATTATTAAGTGATGTTAGGACGGTCATTTCCAATCATTCGTCAAGTTTGCATGATAACGTGGATTAAAATATCAGATTGAATAACCATTCATCAAGATAAAAATGGGTCTTATATAGTCCTAATGTAATTTTTAATTGTCCACGTCATCAAAAGGTACTAAATTAAAAAGAAATCAAAATTCTAAACAACATTTGACGTTCAGAACCGAAATTAAAAAAAAAAATAACAACTTCAAACACCAAAAATAATATTATCCCTGTGTGTAACTTTAATTAAATTCTAGCCAATTTAACTAGTTCCTTTAAATACATAAATGTTGAGAGACATAATTGCACTCAATAACAAATGCATTTCCTTCAAATATTATGAACTTTAAGTTTCGGGTTTGAAGCTTTAAAGGGTAATAATATAGAAGGTAATTTATATAAATGAAAATTTATTTAAAATTCTGTTTTTTATTTGAATTATATTAATTTTTATACAAAAAAATAATTTCTTCATTATTTTTTTAAGTTTCTTTTCATCTCTCCACTGGGCATAACCCATATTCCAAAATTGTCGGTTTTAATTTCAAAACCATTGGTATCAGTTTTAAAAAAGGTGAAACCAAAATTAAACTGCTTTTAGATAGTTTTTAAGAAGATTTTAGAACTGTCAATTTCGGTTTTGTTTCAATTTTAAATTGAAATAAATAATTTATTTCAAACCTTTTAAAATTTCTATTTAGATTTATAGCTTGAGTAAATAATAATAATAAGTAATAATGAATAATAATAAATATCTACTTTTTGGGAAAAACTAACGACTAATTAATAAAATTTAAAGTTATTTTTAAAATTATAATAGAATACAAAAAAAATAATTTATTTCAAACCTTTTAAAATTTCTATTTAGATTTATAGCTTGAGTAAATAATAATAATAATAAATATTACTATTGAAAAAAACTAGACTAATTTAATAAAAAATTTAAAGTTATTTTAAAAATTATAATAAAACAAAAAAAATTTTAAAAATATGTTTTTCACGGTTTCAAACCGGAACTGCCAACTTTTAAACCAGAATCGTCAGTTTAGTTTATAAAAATAAAGAATCGAAATTAAAATTTAAGTACACGGTTTCAATTACAGATTGAAATCAATAATAATTAATCATAATTTATTGTCATTTTTTACCGTTTTGATTTCGGTTCGATTCTGATTTGAAATGGAACCACTGTGATTGGTTCCCTCCACTAACACCCATGCATCTACCGAATCTTCTTGGTATGATATGGTATGAATCAAACAAACTTACTTCATTAATCTAAAGAAAACCCACTTCACCTAATTATTCTCTCTGTCTCTCTCTCTCTCTCTCTCTCCTTCTCCATCCATGGCACCTTTTGACTTCAATTTTTTCTAATCCCTTTAATTACAATTTTAGAAACAACTTTGCGGCTTTTACATACTCAATTAATCAATCAATAGAATAGATAGTAAATGGCAGGTGTTTTTCCATTACCTTTTCTTTTCTTTCACTTTGGTTTCTTTTCTCATATATTTACTTCCTCTTCCATCCTAACTTCATTTCTTTCCTAATCTATTTATACTAACAACAACAACGATAATAGGAGCCCCTTTTAGCTTGGGGCATTTTTCACGTTTTAAAAATATTTATGTGTTTTCTCATATAAAATGTTGTTTTTCCGTGTAAAATTATATTTAAAATATTATTTTTTAATATCTATTTCCACGTTTTTTACATATTTTATAGAATAGAATATTTATATTTCTCACTTCATTTAAAAAGCTATTGCTTTTTTGGTGAGTACCAAATTTTGCTCTACACTAATAATGTTTGATTGAGATAATTAGTGATTTTAATTCCTGTAAATATAAGAATATAAATTCGATCCCTGAAAAAAACATTTTGCTGAAAAGACAAAAAATATTTATGTTCTATGGCTCGAGAGAATTAAATCTCCTTATTGTACCATAAAAACAAAAACTTTTTGCTCTCTACTCACCACTAGATTTCTTTATTTAATGAAAATTGTAAGGACAATATCGATTTGTTTCTGTAGCCAGTATCTAACATCTCTTTTATGTGACCATAATTAAAAGAAGTTTAAGATCAATTTTTTAAGCTCGAGAATAATATTTAATGAAACTTCTTGTAATTCAGCCAAATTAAAGTCATTTTGTCCAACAGGTAGCATTGATACCTATTTGTACTAGCTAATTTCATAACCTTGAATATGAATCATTAATATTTAATATAAGGGTATATTAGAAAAAAAATTTAAAAAAATTATGATTTAACCATATTAATTACATTTTTTGATGTGTAAAGTCAAAATAGACCTATTATGGTGGGACAAAGGAGTATTTCTTAACTAAAAACATATACTACATATTTTTGGATGATTTTTTTTTTTTTTTGGAAATAAAATGAAATTTATTTAATTAATTATAATGAAGTAACAAAATGATCTTATTATATTGTACGAGGGGCGGAGGAAGGCTTAGTGTATTTCTTTGCAAATTATAGAAAATTAAACTGTCAAGTTTGAAATTTTTCATAATTTGCTTGTTCTCATACCAATTTGTTGATGTTATTTAGAAATATTACTGTTGTAGTTACAAAAATAACTATATAACTTTAAACGTAACCTCTTGAGACATCTATTTATGAATCAAATATCAAATAAATACAAAAATGATTTTATTTGTACGGTCAAATTTTCTTAAGAATATACGTACTATACTTTTTTATACTGAAATTGAATAAATTATTTTAATTAATGTAATAATTCCATTTAGTTAACTAAAATTAGAAATTTTCGAAACTAGAAAAATAAAATATTATAAATTAAAAAATTGTTCATACTTTTCAATGATTTAATTTTATATGTACCATTTGTTTATAATAAAATTCATTTATTTATACAATAAACAAATAGAACTTTTTTAGCTAAATGCATAAATTTATCTATGTACTTTATAGAAAAAATCTTGTGAAAACTGTTATTTTTTACTTTGACTCATTAAAATTTCAATTTATAAAATTACATCTATTAAACACTTTAACTTGTAAAATTAAATTGATTAAATATTTATTAAATAACTAAAAAATATAAAAATTATCAAATTAACATTTTACATATAAAAGTAAAAAATCTTATGTGTTTCACCTAAAAAAAGTCTTTTCATTATTATTTCGTTGCTAATAAACAAATTGTTGTTACTAATTAATACGGAGAAGTATGCCATGTTGCGGAAATTTAGTTATACATCGGCTCTTTTCTTACATCAGTTATACATATATGAATATATTGGCAGGTAAACAGTAGGATATATAAATATAAATCTCTGATATCTTATTATTATTATTATTATTATTATTATTTTAATTTTGGATTTAAAGTAAAATAGAAAGAATGTAGAGTGTTGGGGATTTATATAAAAATGGAAAGTTGGCCCCAATATTCCCACACCATACGCACTTATAACCAAAGGTTATCATTTATGAACAAAAATCCATTCCCTGTCTATACACATCACAAGAACAGCGACACGTCACATTTCGACAGCACAATAATACAAACCAAGAAAAATATTTAGCCTCAAAAAAAATTGCAGAATTTCCTTGTCCATATTTATCTGTCACATTTCACCTTATACATCATTCTTCCTTTATTTTATTATTAGGACCGACTAACTAATTGAATTTCTTATTATTGTTTGTGATTTTTTTTGGGTTTTTTTAAAATCAGATCAGATATCGAATTAGAAATTAGTGTACAAAAAAATCACAAATTGAATTATTATTATTATTATTATTATTATTATGGGAAAATTTAAAAAAAATTGCTGTACATACCATTTCTACAAATTATTACAATAATCTCTTGCCATACACGTAGGTACAAGTTGGGATATAAAATGTTCAGAGGCCTATAAATAGAGTTCCTTGTGAGCCATTCAAACAACAAGAATCAAAATGGAGGAGATGGAAAAGGGGAGCGTACATGCCAAAAGGCAAAAGGGTGGATTGATCACAATGCCCTTCATATTAGGTAAGCTCTGGTTAATTAATGAGTTAAAGAATTACTATATTGCTTTCACAGGGTAATTAGTTATAGTGATTTAAGTTAAACTGATTTTATGGATTTCGGTTTTGGTTTTTGGTGTAGTAAATGAGGCCGCTGAGAAGCTAGCAGTGGTGGGTTTTAATACAAATATGATTAGCTACTTAACTACTCAGATTCATATGCCATTAACCAAAGCTGCTAATACACTCACCAACTTTGGTGGCACTTCAAGCTTGACTCCTCTGCTCGGTGCCTTCCTCGCCGATTCCTACGCCGGCCGCTTCTGGACTATAACTCTTGCTTCCATAATATACCAAATGGTAAACACCTCTCTCTCTCTCTCTCTCTCTCTCTCTCTCTCTCTCACTCTCTTACTAACTATATATTGCTAATATGTTATTCTTTTTCTTTTTTGGGTTAATTTGACTTTCGATTTCAATTTCAAAACACTTTTAACCCTCGAAATAAATACAAAAAATAGCATCGAGTTGAACAAATTAGTACTGATTAATATTCTTGATTAATTAGGATTTACTAACAATACTGACATCCTAATTAATATTTTTTAATAAGTACAAAAAATAGCATAACGTCAAGATTAAAGAATATGAAGAAGATTTCCCAAGGGATTATGTAATATATGATATGACAAGTGAGAGTTAGAGCATGACAATTAAAAAATAATATTCCTTTTGTTTATGACAAATTAAAATGCCAATTTTGAATAATTAAGCATATTTTTATACATACTAGCTAGATCGCTAGTCAAATTTCAGCTAAAAAAATTATAAAATGAAATTGAGATTGACCCTTTTTTTTTATTCTTGCATAATTAGGGCATGACAAGCTTAACACTATCTGCCATCCTACCAAGTTTAAGGCCACCCCCATGTGAAGGTGACAAATGTCAAGAGGCAAACAATGGACAACTAGCGATCCTGTACGTATCACTTCTTTTAGGAGCATTAGGATCCGGGGGGATCCGACCATGCGTGGTAGCATTCGGGGCGGATCAGTTCGACGAAACGGATCCAAAGCAAACAACAAAGACATGGAGATACTTCAATTGGTATTATTTTGTGATGGGGGTGTCAATATTGGTGGCAGTGACAGTAATTGTTTATATACAAGACAATATTGGATGGGGATGGGGCCTTGGAATACCAGCAATTGCAATGTTTCTATCAATAATTGTATTTCTAGGTGGATATCCACTTTACAGGAACTTGGATCCAGCTGGTAGTCCATTTACCCGATTATTACAAGTGTCGGTGGCTGCATTCAAGAAGAGGAAGCTGTCTATGGTTTCGGATCCTAAGTTATTGTACCGGAACCATGAACTTGATGCTCCCATTTCCATTGGTGGAAGGCTTCTTCACACTAAACAAATAAGGTAATACTTTTTTATAAAGAATAAGTTCAAATTGGCCCTTTGAACTTAGAAATAATATTCAATTTGGTCGAAAATCAAATTTTTATATAATTTATCCCTGAATTTTGCACTAAAAAGAATAAAAATAGGAGGCTATGAGCACCTTGCTCCTCCAAATTAAGGAGGCTAAAGGGATAGAGATGATGAATATGGAGACCACCACCATATTATCTGGAATTTGGTCATTAATTTACAAAAGGATAATGATGACTTAATCATTTGTCATAGCACATATTACTTAGTGTTAGGGTTGATTAAAGTGATGTCTCTTTGGCTAAAGAACAAAAGCCAGAGCATCCCAGCTCACCCTATGACCCATCAATAGTCACGTTCGTATTTTTGGCTTCATGCACCTTCCTATTATTGTCCTATCTTTGCTCATGGCCTCCTCTTATATTTCAAAAGTCACGGGTTCTTACATGCATCGGGCCCAATTGAGTATGGCATTTTCTCTCTGGACTTTAAGTTAGTTTTGTCCATTAGGGTTGAATTTAAAAAAAAAAAAAAAAAAAAAAAAAAAAAAAAAAATGAGTATGGCATTTTCTCTCTGGACTTTAAGTGGTTAGTTTTTGTCCATTAGGGTTGAATTTAATAAAAAAAAAAAAAAAAAAAAAAAAAAAAACAAAAAACAAATAAAAAAAAAAAAAAAAAAAAAAAAAAAAAAAAAACAAATCATTGATCTCATTCGCTAAAGAACTAAAATCTGAAGCGTTTTTTATTTTTTACATTAGTGAAAAGACTAAGTGACTGACAATCACCTTATAATAGTCAGAAGCCAATTAGACCATAGAAATTTTATCTCTCTAGTGTATGATCAGGATTGAAATGTTTGTAAATAATTAGCACGAATACTTAATTATGGTTTAGCTTCCAAAAATTGAACTCCTGTCAATAAGATAGAAAGTAAAAGAAACCGATCTAGTTCAGTTTTGCTGATTAATGTATGTCAAACAAACTGCAGGTTTCTTGACAAGGCAGCAATTGTGACCGAAGAGGACAACCTGAAACCAGGTCAAGCACCCAATCTATGGAGGCTAAACACAGTACACAGAGTAGAAGAACTCAAATCCATAATAAGAATGGGACCCATATGGGCATCAGGAATTCTTCTAATAACAGCTTATGCTCAACAAAGCACATTTTCTTTACAACAAGCGAAGACAATGGACAGACATCTTTCAAAATCCTTTCAAATCCCAGCTGGTTCAATGTCCGTCTTCACTATCACGTCAATGCTCACCACCATAGCCATATACGATCGTCTCTTCATTCCTTTCGCCCGTAAATTCACAGGTCTTGAACGCGGCATAACTTTCTTGCACAGAATGGGTATCGGCTTCGTAATCTCCATCTTAGCCACTTTAGTTGCGGGTTTCGTTGAGATTAAGAGAAAACAGGCAGCAATGGCTAATGGGTTATTAGATTCTCACAAAACTATTCCTATTTCTGTATTTTGGCTTGCGCCACAATACTGTCTGCATGGAATAGCAGAAGCCTTCATGTCAATTGGACATTTAGAGTTCTTTTATGATCAAGCACCAGAAAGCATGAGAAGCTCGGCTATGGCGTTGTTTTGGACAGCGATATCCGCAGGGAATTATGTGAGTACGCTTTTGGTTACTTTAGTGCATAAGTTTAGTGAAGGAGCTGATGGGTCCAACTGGCTTCCTGATAATAATATAAACAAGGGTAAATTAGAGTATTTTTACTGGTTGATCACTGGAATGCAAGTGATTAATCTTGTTTACTACTTGGTTTGTGCAAAGATGTATACTTTTAAGCCTATCCAGATCCACAGTAAAGATGAAGCTGATGCTGAGACTAAAGAAGATGGAGTAGTAGAACTTGCAATCAAGGCTTAGTTTGTTTTAATTAATTGCATAGCTAATTAGCTATAGCTTGTAGAGAAGTAGAGTAGAAGTTGATACTTTTAATAAATTAATTAATAGTATGTAAAAGAAAAGTTAATGCAGAAACAAATTAGCCCTTTCTATGCTTATAATCTTTTCTTCAGTAATAATAACAGATTAAAAGAATAATTTGCTTTCGTTTTCTCTTCTTGGTGGACGCATAATAGGGATTACACTACAAAAAAAAAATGCTCAATTGCGACCGACCTAAATCGGTAGCAGTTTTGCGACCGATTTGCGATTTATAAGCCATCATTCGCAAATTTTGGCGCTGAAAATTCCCGCGAGAATGGTTAATGATTTGCGACCTGTGTATTACGGATTTGTGACCAATTTTGCGATCGATGTGCGACTAAGTGGTTTTCTGTCGCAGATCGATGTGCGACTAAGTGGTTTTTCTGGTCGCAATTCACAGCGAAAAATGGGGGCAAAATTCTGAGACCGATTGGAGACTAAATGCGACTGATTTCGCGACCGCGGATTTGTTATTTAGTCGAAATCGGTCTCAAATATTTGTCCTAGTCCAAACGACGTTGGCTTTAAAAATTGCGACGATAAGTTATAAAATTTGCGACCTGGAGTTGGTCGCAAAAGTTAGGGCTTTAAACGCCGCGCCCTCTCTTTTTTCTTTCTTCTTCTTTCTCTCTTCTCCTTCTCCTCTCCTCTCCTCCGTTCGCAACGCCGCTCCGGCCCTTCCTGACACCGTTCCAGCCCGCCTGACGCCACCAGCCTCGCTCCCTTTGCACTCCGGTCACTCTGTTTCGAAACAATCTGAGGTTAGTTTTATTTTGCGATTAATTTTTCGAAATTGTTTTTTTGAATTTATTTGTTTTTTATTATATTAATTTATGGTTGATTTTGTATATTGTTGTTAGAATTTTGTATATGGTTGCGATTAATTTGGTTGCGATTAATTTATTTAGTATATGGTTGAGTTGCGATTAGAATTTTTTTAGGGGAGTCAAAATTATTATTATTTTTATTATTATTACTGTTCTTATTATTATTTATAATTATTATATTATTGTTGTTGTTATTTATTGTGTATTATTTATTATTAGTATTATTGTTATTGTTATTGTTGTTGTTATTATTATTATTAGTATTATTGTTACCTTAAGCGACTGTGATTGACAATTCTGGCAAATAATCTACTAGCATGCGTTTGTCAAATACACAAAACTATTAATTGCGATTAGGAACGATTGTGCAAATATTATTTTTGGTAAGTTTTGCGATTTTAGGTGTATTTGTCATTGGAACAGTCCTTGTCAGAGCTAAGCGGAGGCTAACGATCTCTGCTTGCCCTTTCTCTAATTTTGGACGAGGCATAGTTTAGTTGATTTTTCATTTATTATTTTTTCAGTTTATTATTTGGGATCTTGCAAAAGCTAATACCAAGCTTTTCCCTTTAGACATATTGGATTGAAATTTGAAATCTAATATGACATTGTAATTGAAATATTCAGCATAATCCATTTTCATATAAAAGGTGCGTGTAAGGAAATGGACAAGTCATTTTTTAAGGGGCTTTGTTGAGGAAATTCTGAATGGTACTGTCATATGTGTCTTAGATTAGGGCCATGTGCACACAAAATACAATTTATTATTAATTTATTTTTTTATACTGAAACTACTTTCAAATGAACTCTACTTTTGGTTTCTAGTGTCTTAGTGGTTTCATAATTTGGAGTAAAATTTTGTCATGAATGTTATTTGCAGTGATTAATGTTGAGCCGTTTGAACAGGTTGATGCGCTCTGATTTTAATGCCACACACAGAAATAGGGAGAATGATCAAAGCTCACTTTCCACATTCCCAGGTCAAATAATTTCTTTTGATGCACTTAGTGCAAAGGGAAAATAAATTTAGCAAGCAAATGTGGAGTTAAGTGAATTTTTGGTTATTGCTGGGAATTGGCACCCAAGTTTAATTTGCTTTCAAGCATAATATGCTAGGATATTTTGTCTTACACTTGTCTCTTTTGAATTATCTTGTAGTTTATTGTGGTTTCACTGAAAGAAGGCATGTTCAACAATGCCAATGTCCTTTTTCGGACGAAATTTGTAGATGGTGTTTCAACTGTCCAGAGGACTGTTGCTGCTAAGCAGAACAAGTGATTGCTGCCACATTATCAGGTTTATTGTTACTTTGATGGAATTTTATTATTTCGATTCACATGTTTTGAATTAATGTCCAGTAATGCCTGGTTAGTCCATCTGTTATTAATGTACCGTCACTAGTCGTAACACAGTTACTTAACCCAGTTCCAAATTTTTGTATTTTGTCTTTAATTTGACATCCCTCACTTTACCATTCCTATCACTTTCCTGCTTTCTTTTTCCCTATTTTGTTTGTCATTTTAGAAGACTTATCTTCTTTTCCAACTTTATGCTTTTCACTATTATGAAAGCATTAATAATATATATTTACAGAACTGAGGATGGAGCAAGAACTGAGGATGGAGGAAATTACTTGGAATAAGCTTTGCTTTTTTTGAGACTTGTTCAGAATTATGTAGGAAATATTAATGAGGATATAGTTAGATGCAGATTATTGGCTCTGTAAACAAATAAAATTTTAAAATTGAAAAAAAAAAAAGGAATAATTTGTTATACAGAGCAATAATCTTGCAGTCTAACTAATTCCTCATTAATTTATTGCCTACATAATCTTGACAGTCTCAAAATAGCAGCCATTCAAGTATTTCCTCCATCCTCAAGTTCTGTAAAATATAATATTAATGCTTTCATAATGTGAAAAGCATAAAGTTGGAAAAGAAAGAATAAGTCTTCTAAAATGACAAACAAAATGGAAAAAGCAAGCTAGGAATGGTAAACTGAGCGAATGCAAATTAAAGACAAAATAACAACTTTGCGACCATTGCGACAGACTTTTCTGCAACTAATTTGCGACATACCATCCCCCATCACCTCCCCATACAACAATTTGCGACCGATTTGCGACAGACTTTTTCTGCAACTAATTTGCGACAGCATTTCCACATGAAAACACGACCAAATTTTGCGACCGATTTTTTAATTTTGCGACCGACGGAAAAAATCGGTCGCAAAATATTTTGCGATAAGAATTTTTCCGACCGACGTGTTTTGGTTGCAGATAGGTCGCTAATTGAATTTAACGACCGATTTGTCGGTCGCAAAATGCCGTTTTTTTTGTAGTGTTATACTCTCATCATATATATTAGTTATAGTTAACTTTGTTTAAGTTTGTATGGAAAGAAATTAAATTTTCTGGGTACGTGCACTTATATATTTAGTTTTCCATTATTATTTTCTTTGACTATATTTTTCCCTTGAAAATAAATTTTGAAAACCATCAAGTAAGTTATTCTAATTACCTATGTAAACATGGAGGATTGTATAATACACTTTCCTACAAAAATAATATTATAAAGTAATGGTTAAGCTTGATATTCTTACTTGAAAGTAGTGTTTAAATATTAGGTGAGATAGAGATGTTTATGGTAGGTTATATCAATTTTTGAATATTAACAAATTGTGTAACGTACATGTATAATTACCTCTCTTCAATATTATAAGCTACATTTGGTTAACGGTACTAAAATATATAATCAAATCATTAATTACATTTCTAAGTATGCATTTTAATACAATTATATTAAAAAATATAAATATTTATATCATTTTACATTAATCAAATAACTGAACTTAACTTAAATTATTAATGAAAAGAAGGAAGTAAAAGATTTCTAAAGTACAACTTATAATAGACTAAAATGGCAAGCCAAAAATGCTAAAATGGATTGTGGTTGATTTGTTGTGTGAAAGAGAACGTGTGAATGGTGACGTGATTGATTGATGTTAAATTTTTAAAATCTCTGTCCTATGTACCAGTTTTGGATTATTTTTCATCTTTTTTTTCTGGTCTATTGAAACAACCCGAATTTTTATTTTTAAAATATTTTTCAATTAAATTTAATGAACCGACAGCCTGTAAATTTATTTCAATATTTTAATACGAATACTGTGATAAACCGAACCGAAAAAGCGATTGAAAAATTTGAAAACCAATTGAAAAAGCATTGAAAAATTTGAAAACACGCAATTGAAAAGCCAAAAGGCTTAGGCCGAATCGCAACCGGTTCGACCCCCAACAATCTAGACATCTCCTTTCCCTTTTTTTTTCTTTCTTCATCAACGCTCACTCCTCACCTTTTTTGCGCCACTAGTCACACCGACACTGCCATCAGCAACAACTGCCAGTGCCACCCCTCCTCCCTCTCTTTTCTTCTCTTCTTCTTCTTTCTTTTTCCTTTCTTTCTTTTCTCTTTCTTTTTTCCCTTAATGAGACAGACGAAATAACTGTTTGCTGGCAGAAGCAGATGCGCGCCTCCCCAGCTTGAGCAGAGCCATTAGCCGCCACTACCGCTATACACCGCCGCTCGCCGTTCTCGCACATCACCTTAGGAGAACTGGATAGACCGGGACGCGCACAGCTCAGTTGCAGCTCCAGCGCGTCTCCGACCACCAGGAGCATATCTGTCGCGCCTGCAGTTGCGCCGCCAGCTGCTCCGCCACCAGGTCGCGCCACCATTGCAAGTCAGCCCCTCCTGCGTCGATCTCAGGTGGTCCAATCGCTTCCAGCACGCGTAGTTTCAATCCGGTACGCGTAAAATCCCAAATCCTGCAAGAAAATAATATTTTGTTTGGGTATGAATTTATTTTATTAATTGTGGTTAATTAATTTAATTTTAGTAATCTTGGTTAGTTAATTTAATTTTAGTAATATTATTTAATTAAATTAATTTTATTAGTAATCTTGGTTAGTTAATTTAATTTTAGTAATATTATTTAATTAAATTAATTTTATTATTTGTAGTTAATTAATTTATTTAATTTAATTTATTAATTGTGAGTAGTTAATTGATTTATAATATTAGTGTTGATTTAATTAAGGAACCTTGATAATGACATATTAATAGAATTTAAGTGTGGATTAAGGTAGTTTAGATATAATGTTATTGTAAATTATAATTTTGATTGTGAGGTGATGTTGAGATTGAAGGAGGAGGGGAAATTTGATTTGATTGATTGCCCGATGAATGTGCTCTGTGGTTTGATAAATTGTTGATATTTTAACAGGTGGATAGTCCAAATTTTAGGGGAGATGCTGCCGAAATTTCGGTAGGAATTAGATTATTTTTAGAACTCTAATAGATAGTACGAATAAAATTAGTACGACTAAAATTATTATCGTTAGAAATATTATATTATCAATCATATTATTCTTATTAATATTATTAATATTAGTATTCTTATTAGTATTATTATAAAATATTACTTAACCTTTTATTTAAAGTTTAATATTGATAAATTAGAATAAATATATTAAATTAGAAAACCTAAATATATATATATATTATTAATATATATATATATTATATATAATAATAGTTTAATTTAATCAGATAGTTTAATTTAATAAGTGAATTAAATGACTGGTAACCAAAACTAATAAACGAATGTGAAATATAATTTTCCGAATTAGAATTCTTACTTAGAATTTTTCCTGTTTATTTTAGAGGATTATAAAAATTCAAAAATGCGAGGACAAAGGCTGGAAGCACGTGGCTAGAAAGGCGGTCCTTTTAGAGGACAATAAAGAACTGTGAGTAGTGTTAGATAACTAGTATCATCCGCCTACATTCATGCATTCACGGCTAAATGTTATCATGCATTATTTTGTTGAATTGTCATATCGTGCTGCACTATTTGTTGATATTAAAAATTGCTTGATTATCTGTGATGTGATATTGCTGTGCCTTTTTTGTGTGGAATTGGGATGAAGTGGGTCACCATGGATTTGTGAGACTGTTACTATTATATGGATCCTGATTCTGATTTCTGTTAGCCGGGTAAATGGGAGATCGGCGCCCCCGTGTGCACCTACTGTTCTGATCTGTATGATATGGAAAATGGAAAAACCACGGGTTGGTCCTCTTTTGGCACACCTGATAATCTAGATTCTGAATTGCACAGCCCTGTGGAGTTGGGATGAAGTGGGTCACTATTGGTTTGTGAGGGCGGTCCACGAGACCGTTGGCCGTATGAGAGATCGGCACCCCGTGTGCACCTGATGATATGGATTATATAGAAACCACAGGGTGGCTTCTTATTGGGCGCCCCTGATAATCTGGATTTTATGGTAGCCAGCAGGGTGGCCTCCTGTTGTGTGCGCCGGCAGATCTAGAATTGACGGAGACGACCGGGTTGCCTCTTGTTGGAATGGAAAAGAAAAAGAAAAGAGAGAATGGAAAGACAATTAGAAGGCTGGTCAAGTGAGGATTAGACCGGTCGGCCATGTATGGGGATCGGCTTCTTGGTGCACACATATGAGAGGGCGAGCCATGTGTGAGGACGGCTCGTTGGGATTTCGGTGACGCCACTAACTAATTTTCACGACTCCACTGACTAATTTCCACGTGATGTGATTATATGAAGGTGATGATAACTGTGATTGCTGTTGTATTGCCATTTGTGTGTCAAACTGCATGATCACATAATTTAACGGGTGACCACATAAAATTATTTTAGCATTTGCTATGATTGTGTGGGGTGAGAGGGTTATCTAATTCTATTCACTGAGTTTATTTCTCACTCCCCTCCAACCCTCCCCAGGTAATAGATGGAAAGAAGAATCGTGGAGTCTAATTGAATGAACGAGATATGGTTCGATAGGAGTAATAATCATTGTATCAAATATCAATTGTATCAAATATGTAGAATGCAATAGAATAGTTGAGTTATGGGAGTAGAGTTCTGCTAATTGTATTCCAACTGAGTTGTAATGATATAAAGTTATAGACTATATTATTTGGATATTATTATTTGGATATATTTGTGAAATAAATTATTGGGCCTGAATCCACAATTATGAATAGCATATGAGTTTTAAATAATTTAGGCTTACTACGGGTTTCGAGGGCTTTAAGCCCATCCAGGTCCTAGTACCGGTCCGGCCCACGGAAATGGGTCGTGACATCTATCTAGAAATAGAAAGTGATATAAACAATGTCTTTTTTTTTTTTCTTTTTTTTTTTTTACATCTCAACCTCACATGCTAAATAGAAGATTGCAAGGTATTTTAAACAAAAAAAAAAACATTTAGTTTTCTAACGTGGCAATTGAACAAGATCAACCCACGTTAGTATTAGCGTTGGAAATACTCTAAACAATTGTAAGACCCACTTCAAAAAGTAATTATAAGAAACTTTAATTTAATTAGTTGATCCATAAGTGGTAACATAAAACCTTTCTCTGTAAGTTTTTCCTTTGGTTTGTCATCCTACATAGAATCACAGCTTTCCTTATATAATTTTTCCCAAAGTGCAGCCAATGCCTCCTACACAACGAAATGCCAAAAAAAAAAAAAAAAAAAAAAAAAAAAAAAAAAAAAGAGGGAGAGAGTCAGTTTTTTTGGGCTAAAAGTGGATCAAAGGTGCTATCTATGTTCATTATATGCTCCAAGGCCCATTGAGCCTAACTAGCTTTCTGGATCAGAACCTAGCCTTTGGCTAACCCAACCCACAATTGACAAATTACGGAAGAGTAGCTGGTCAGGCAGTTTAACAATCAAGCGCGCGAAAACCGCCACGAAAGATTTAGAGGGAATGACTTGCAAGTAAGCCATTTATAATTACATAAATCACCTGCTCCCATATGAATGGGTTTGCCGTTTTCGTTAGGCAATCCGCAACTCTAGCGAATTTTCCAATATTCAACTTATTAACCCCACAATTCCACGCTTTTCTTTTATTCCTTTTCCATGGAAACAGCACCAACCAATAAATCCCAAGCAATTTCAAATTTTCCTTTCTTGATTTTTATCATCCTCATGTTCCGATTCGATACTCCATTTGTTTTTCACTTTCCCAAAATTCATTCTAATTGACCAACTCATTTCGTTAAATTTTTTTTTTTTTTCAATAATAATGAAGAGGTATTTTTCTAATTCCAAATCAACCCGGATTTCAGAATCGCAGCAACAACAGCAACAGCCACAACTCGTTTTTGAAGACTCGGCCTCCGCTATGACGACATCAGGCGAAGCAAACGACAGAGGACACGAGCCATTGTCGGCTGTCGTTGCGGCGTTTGAAGATCTAGCGAAGCGTCTGAAATCTATTACGGATGGAGATGATAAAGGAGGAGAGCTTCGATTGGATACGTTCTGTGATGCGTGTTCTTTGGTCTCTGTTTTATTTAGCTGCCTTGGTCTTGCTTTCAAATTTGCCGAGTCCGAGTATGTTGCCAAGGTTCATCCTTTCTCCTCTGCTACCTGTAATCAATTGAATTTCTCATATTCCTGATTGAATCTATTATCATATCTATAATAGGAAATTGAGATTCAGATTTTAGTAATCCTTAGCTAGAATTGAAATGCCGGACTTGATTGTATAATTTGGCGTATCCAGGTTTGCAGTCTTGTGGAAGCATCAAAACGACATAACAGTTTACAAAAAGTGCTCGATTCAGATGTCGCGAATGGCACAGTGAGAACGCCAGGCAGTCATTCGCGTAACTTACGGCGAGTCAGGCAGGGTCTTGACCTTATCAGAGCTTTATTTGAGCAATTTGTGTCAACTAAGTATGTAGCTCCGTTTACCTCTAACTAATACATATATTGTTTTCTGAATTTTGTGCATCTGGTTGATAAAAGAATTGGTTTTTGACAATATTTTTGAAATTGTTGCCTCCAGTGATTACTCTTTAAAGGATGCAGCTACGTCGGCTTATTCGCAAGTTTGTGCACCATACCACACATGGGCCATCAGAACAGCCGTTTATGCCGGAATGTATACTCTCCCTTCAAGAGAACAACTTCTGCAAAAGCTCAACGAAACTGGTGAGTTTGAGTTAATGTAATGTATTATGTGCATAAATTTGCTAGTCTTTATAACTAACATGAGCTGTGAAGATTGAACTCCTTTACAATTTCTCTGTTTGTTGCTATTGTTACAGAGGAAATACACCCCATTCAAAATATTGATTAGAGATTATTAATATTTATTTTTATGTGAATTTTACATATTTTATCCATAAAAAGCTTAAAAACTGGTAATAAATACTCTCAAAACGTGTTTTTTCAACAATATCTAATGGTGGTCATGTTTTTGGAAAGGCAATTTCTACTCTAATACTTAATTGTTCGAGTATTTGTCTGTTTTTTTTTTTTTTTTTTATACTTTAATTTGTTCGAGTATTTTGTCTGTTTTTTTTTTTTTTTTTTTTCTCCTAAAATAAAATTTGGATTCGGGGAAAAATAAACTGATAAAGTAAGTTGTCAAATAGTTTGAATTTGATCTTTTTTTTTTTTTTTTTCTAATAAAATTTGGATTCGGGGAAAAATAACTGATAAAGTAAGTTGTCAAATAGTTGAATTTGAATTTAGACTGCATACCTCATAACTTTTGTTCTCAATGTTGTTGCAGATCACTCTGCAGAGAAGAAAATGAGAAAGTACATCAAGGCCTCACTTCCAGTCATAGAATACATTGATAAGCTTTATATTGCTAGGAATATCAGCTTGGACTGGTAAATTGTACCTGTCTGGAAAAATCGAGCATTTCACATTGCATCAACTTGTAATTGACTGTAGTTACACGATATTAGCTTCAACCTAACTGTAGTCACATATTCCTTATGAGACCATCACCTGTCAATAATTATATTAATAGATTTGCACAGAAGTATTACAACACCTTTTTTCTTATGCATCTGGTGATTTAGAAACAATATATCTTCTTTTAAAGACTTTATCTTGATTCATGAGCAACAACCGAAAGTTCTGATTTTTGATAACCAGTTTACGGGGAAAAAAAATGCAAGTGATTTCCCAAAAGTGGCAACAACAATTCCTTTGTTTTTTACACATTTAGCAACCTTGCACAGAGTGGGACAAATGCTTTAGATGTTGATAAATCATGGTTTAAAGACTAATATAATAAGAGTTATAAAAATTAACTTGACGCTAATAAGCATGTTTATTTCCAGCTAAACTGTAACATTCACAGGTCCCTCATAATTAAAACTTTGAAGAACTTATTATTCCCTTCTTTAGAAAATCTACTCAACAGTATCTGTCATGTAAATGAAATCCTTCCAAAATCAAAACATAGGTACAACACGAGCAGAGCATCACTAGAAAGTACTGCAAAACCGGGTTCCTCGGCCAATTGAGTCTGTTTAGCGGACGCCAGCATTTTGTCAACAACCAAAGAATACACTCAAAATCAACTGCTCTGTTGAAAGGGAGAAAAAAAATGTCATCTATAATGTCAGGCTTTCTGGATTCTCAATGATCTTTGCAAAGGTCTGAAGGAAGGCAGCCAAGTCAGCACCATAGATAATTCGGTGATCAGCTGTTACATTCACCTGAAATTAAAAATCAAATAGATTCAGCTAACTTTTCCTGCAGAACTATTCGCCTTGCTGCAAAACTTCCACATACATGCTCCCAGTAAAGACTATGGGGGCATGCAGTTGCTGAATAAAAATAAAAGAGCAACTTTTTGTGATTTAATGATGCAAAGGGAATTATTTAGTGACAATAGATTCAGCAATAATACATTTGTCCACATTACAGGAGCTGAGGCCATAAAATAATTTCGAGACATGGCAATTTGAGACAAATAACAGGCCATAAACCAACACTCTAAGGCCATGCAACAGTTCAACCACATCATGTCAAACCAATACAACTATCAGATTTTTTGAATACGTCTTATTGTAGTATTAGTATAACATAATTCTGTCCTCATTCAGCTAGAGAAAATTGATATCCAGTAAGGTATGCAATCCACAACCAGAAACTTACAGTTCATGTCATCTATATAAATCAGTCTAGTTCGTATAATAACTACAAAGAATTAGAAAATTCCAATGGAATATAATCCACAGCTGATGCTCATGAATTAAAAAGATACAATGAAGACCTAGGTACCATGCATTTGCAGTTACTTCTTTATCATAATGAACATGAGAAAATTTTGTATTCAGAAAACAAAACAAATATAAGCGATACCGTCGAAAACTGAATTTTATTTCAAATATTTCATAATAATCTTATACAAATGACCAACAATGCCTCTGCTTGTATGCTAGCATCGAAATTAAACTAAATTCTAGATAAAAAGCAGCTAGGTTGTGTTTCTCCAAAGTGGACTGATTTCCCAAAGTTTAATTGTATCAAATGAGAATAACATCACAAATAATGTGCACGGTAACTGCTGCTTCGGAGCATATAATTTAGGTTAGTAGAAAGTTTGTCTCATCATAGTCTATAAAATTATAATATATCCTTTATTTGATGTCACGCACACAATCAATTGAACAAAACAGCAACAGAAGATCAAAAATCAAACTCACCAGCATTTTACTTTTCACACTAAAAAATCCATCAGCATCAGCCACCACAGTTGGTTTTGATGCTCCAACAGCCATTATAGCCCCCTGAACATCATGCCAAAGTTTGAAATGATTAAAAATCAGAACTGCAGAGTCCACTCTCATCAAAAGTACCTCTCAGATTTCCCTATGTCATGTTCCATTATAGTTTGTTGGCAAGATGATAGGATGGAATGGAGAAGAGGCTCCTTTTGTGGTATATTGGAGATAAATTTTTCTATTATTTACAGAGGACAAAAGGAGGCTTAGGGATGAAAATCTAAAGAGTATACGATAGAATTGTCTTGGGGAAATGTGAAAATACCTACTAAGGTACAGGTGGAGAATGAAAATTTTTTGGAGAACTGAGATAGGATACTGTAGAAAAGAATAAAGGATGGATTCTAGAGTTGATAGACTTGCACATGGAATGCAGCTATAGAAGCTTACAACAAAAGGATGGTTTTTGCTTCACTGTTGAGGTTGGTAATGGAGCTTCTATTAACATTTGGTCTGTTTCTAAGTGAGTGGCATTTCTTGTTCTTTTTTTCATTAGTTTCAAATAGTTCATGTCATCTATAAATCAGTATAGCATATACCTGTGAATAAATTCTTAATTACAAATAGTTGTAGGCTTTTCAAAGTATAGTATCATCACTTGAAAATTTTTCAAGATGTTGTTCTATATACAATTTCTTTTCCAGTTATTTTTGTTTTTACTTGTTGCATTAATGTAGATAGTTAAAAGTGTGGTATGCACTCTTAGTGGAATTGGTAGTGCCTGCTTTGAGATTTTCCATTAACAATCTTCATTTTATTGATGGAACAAAAAAATTGAACTTTGGCAAAAAGTCTATGCATTGTAACTCACCTGGCCAGGAGGAAGAATAGCATCAAACCTATCCACTCCAAACATTCCCAAATTGGAAAGAGTGAATGTCCCTGCATTTGTGTATGGTTTAAGTAGCATGCTCCTAGAAGATCATAAAAAACTATGCATTAAAGGTACAATTTTAAAGTAAAAACCTGAGTTGTATTCATGAGGCTGAAGTTGCTTTGCTCTGGCTTTCTCCACCAACTCTTTCCACTTTTGTGATAATAGATACAGATCCAACTATGCCCACCAAAAGGATAACTCAAAACTCTGCTGAACTGTAAAAATTTTCTAAAAATAAGTATATAATGACACATTTACAATACCTTGTTTGCATCTTGAAGAACAGGAGTAATCAATCCACCATTGATTGCCACTGCTACAGCAATGTTAATATTACTGTTATACGTAAAACTTTTTCCATCTTTACAGCAGGAATTCACAACTGGGTGTTGAACCAATGCCACTGCTGCAGCTTTTGCCAACAATGCAGTCATAGTCACACCCTTTGGTTTCACCTGATCATCATGAAAAAGAACAACAATAATCTCATAATCAATCAATATTTACAGAAATTTATAACATGAATCCAGTATGCAATCAAATAATTTGATTTTATACATAAGATACTCCACCGTCCATTTAACAATGAAATATTAGTTTTACCACGTTATTGATTTGGAAGATCAGGTGCATTTGGCTTTGATTTTCATTTTTCACATTGCTCTGTTCTCTGTACTTTATAGCACTTATCAAGTCCAAAATTTCTCAATTTAAAATTCTGAAGACAATGAGCCAAATAAGTGAATCCACGAGAGGTCAGGAAATGTACCTTCTCATATAGTGCATCAAGAGCATCAGTTGTTACAGGGTACCCAACCCGAAAAGTGGGGACTGAAAGACTCTCCACCATATTTTTTGACACTGCAGCTTGCATTGTTGTAAACGGTACAACGGTAGACCCCGGAAGCAGAGGAGCCGTAGGACTGGCAGCAGCTTTAGCCGGAGCAGCAGGAGCCGCAGCCAAAACTGGAACAGGCTCAGCAGCGACAGGCTTTGGAGTAATACCAGCCGCTGCCTCCACGTCAGCAGGCGTAATCCTCCCGTGCGGCCCCGTCCCGACAACCTTGTTAATATCCACCTTATGCTGCTTAGCCAACTTCTTTGCAAAAGGTGTCGCCACTGTCTTCCTGGGCCCCTCCGCCACATCTGCTACTGGAGCTGAAGCAGGAGTAGGGGTAGGAGTAGAAGCAGTAGGAGGAGTGGGAGTGGGAGGAGCAGCAGCAGCAGGAGCCGCGCCGCCAGTTTTGGTGGCAGCTTTTGCTTTAGCTTCGGCAATTTCGTCTTCAGTTTCAGCTAAAATTCCAATAGGAGCACCAACAGGAGCTGATTCACCCTCAGGAACAACAATTGCAGCGAGAATTCCATCGTAGAAAGTCTCAACATCCATGTCAGCCTTATCGGACTCGACAACTACGACGCTTTCGCCTTTAGAGAGAACATCACCTTCGGATTTAATCCAGGAAACAATTTTGCCCTCAGTCATGGTGGAACTGAGTGCAGGCATGAAGATCTCACGGATCTTCGATTGGACTCGCAAGGCATTATTTCGTCTATTACAGCGGTGAGATTTGGAAGGAAATGTGGAAGGAAAAGAAGGGAAAGAAGGAGATACAGAAGAAGAGAAAGAGATGCTTTTGTTGGAGATTGAGATTTTGGAAAGGAAAGCAGAAGAAGAGGAAGCCATTGGAGATTGAGATTGAGAAAAGGCGTGTTTGCGTTTAGGTGTGAGAGAGAATGAGAATGGAAGGGGAGGGAAATAGTAGAGGGAGAAAAAAGCGGGGCGGAGAAGACGAGGAGAGGTAGGTTGGAGGATTTGATTTTACGCTGGCTACTCTGTTTACATCGCCTACTAACACCACCGTTTGTTTAGTCGTCAAGTTCTTTAAGTTGCAGTATTTTAGCCTGCTCTTTATTGCCTTCTTTTATTCCTCGGTTTTTTCTAGTCTTTTCCTTCTTTTTTGTTTTTTTCCTCTTTTCCTGTTTTCTCTACACATTGTAAAAATTTACTGATTCAACAAAATTAAAGCATTTTCTGCTGTTTGGAAGTATCGTTTGATGATCAACTAATATAAATACAATGTTAAATTGTTATTAAATTACACTTTGTTGATAGAATAAAAATTTTTTATGATATCTTCTCAAAAAAAAAAATGTTATATGGGTAGAATAAAATAAAATAAAATAAAATAAGTATTCTTTCAACCTTAATGATGATTAAATTCTTCCACTTTGAATGTTGGTAGCATAATTATTGATTTATTTTTATATTTTTTGTTGTAAAATATTGCTTAAAATGCAATAGTGAATATAATATATATGAATCCTGTAAATTTAATTTATTGCTTATTTTTATATATTAATCATTAAAAAAAATTTGTATATCGACTCCAGAACAAAAAATATTTTTGGATCCATCAACTCACTCTAACATGTTCGTATAATTTTAACTACACTTATTCTTCAAGCTAAATTTAGAATATGGATAGGGAGTAAACATATCAAACTTAATTGAAGAATACATAAAATTTTGGAAACGAAAATAATTTTGTTACTATTTTTTTTTTTTTTTTTTAGAAATACATAAAATGTTTGGAAACGAAAATAATTTTTTTTTTTTTTTTTTTTTAATAAAAGACTTAAATAATTATAAGGAATAAAGTATAACTCTAAGATTAAATTAGTACGATAATATATATATAAAGTTGTTTCCAATTTATCTTTTCATATCTTATAAAAAATATGGAGAATGAGAAATCTCTAATGCTAAATCATTTTTATCACAAAAATTATCATCAATATGATGAATCTTATTCAAGAAGAGGAACGCAAAGCACACACTATTATTTTAATTCATTAACCTTTTGTAGTATAAAAAAAAAATTAACAGCTAATACATATATTTAAAATATTAAATGCTATTTTATAAAGAGAAGCAGATACGTTACGTTGTTTTGACTTGAATGTTATATTGCCAGATAGCGTAACAAAAGACAATAACTACATTTATAAACTGTAATAAGTATAAATGAACAATTTTTTTTTTAAATCTAAAAATGAAATCATTCTACAACATTAAAAACAAAATTATAAACTAATACTTAATAATTACAAAAAATAGAGTATAAATACGAATATTAAATGAGCAATAACAACACGTTACAAAAAAAAACTAGTTTGATCACTTAAAAAAACAGTTCAAAATTTGTGGTTTTGAATTTATTAATTATTCCTAATAATTAAATAAACAATGCTCTTTTGAAGACCATATGGATTTATCAAGCCAGGCTTAGAGAGAAGATGGATCGTAGTGTTTGGGTTTATGTTTTCTCACGGGCTGGAAAGCTAGAAAAGGCCCATTATAAATATGCTAATGATTGGATAGTGTAATTTTAAAAATCCAGCGTATTTGACCAGATTATAAGAATTGTATAGTAATTATTTTAAGGGTATTTTTAATATTTTATAATTACTTAACAGAAAATTTAATTTAATGTAATATTTTAACATATTAATTAATTTAAATATTTGTTTTCTCAAATTAATTTAATGATTTTTCAATTTTATTATCCTCCAACCATATAATCCTTTATCCTTAAAAAAAAAAAAAAACTATATAATCCTTTTAAATTTGTGTACTTTTAGTTAGTCGGTCAAACTTTTTAAGTAATTATGTGTTTCCCAAATTACCCTTCGATTAATATCTCTTCCTTATCCTTTTTTTTTTTTTTTTTTTTTTTTTTTTCCTTTTTTTTTTTCTTTTTTTTTTTTTTTTTTGACCTTTTTTTTTTTTTTTTTTTTTTTTTTTTTTGACCTTTTAAAATTTGTTGTTGAGTCATTTGATAAAATTAACGTGGAGCTAAATATTTATTTTATTAGTTATTGAGTTTTGATTTATATTCCCACGACATTGTAATTATATCAAAAATTTCATTTTGTGATGAGAGGTATATTGAAATAATGTATTATGCTTATTAAAATTAAATAAATTTTTATCTAAACAAAAATATCCCCGGGTCTGAAAATGCTAAAATTTTCCACGTGCGAGAAAGACTAACTAGTACTAGTGCCAAACATGTCTTGTTTGTCTCTCCAACGCCAAGTTGATGCCCGTGACAAGTTGGACCCGGAAGTGGAAATAAAATAAGGAATGAGTTCTATGAATTATAAAATATATAGTAATATAATACCCTCTATCTTTACAATTCATACTAACCTTACCAATTTGATCTACTGAGAGAATAATAGGTTGAAATTACATCATGAGCTACATAATATAAGTAACCTTGTTAATGCACTAAATTGATGAAAATTCTATGGTCGGAATGATTTAAACTCGAGACCTCCTACTCTTTATATAAATAAAAAGACAAAGTAGACCACCCTTAATGTCTGATTCACTAAACTAATCTTACAATTTCCACCTAAGTTAATTCCATCTAATAATATAAATAAGCTTAGGTCATGTTTAGTATAGTGTAATCAACCATGTAATGGAAGGAAAATTATATTACATGACTGATTACATTGTTAATATAATTGAGATTATATATGTAATCTCTGTTACTTAAATTGATGAAATATTCATTAAAAAAAAAAAATACATGTATTACTATTACATTAAGCATCTGTAATACCAGTCACATCAAATCATCCCAATCAAAATTCTACTACCACCTCAATCGCTCTACCGCCACTACTCCACTACCATCATCGCTCTACCACAATCACCAACCACCACTATTCCACTAGCACGGCCACTACAAAATAAAAAGTATATGTTAGTGTTTAATATGCAATAAAGAATAAAAAATTATATTATATTTTTTTTTTATTTTAGAAATGAAAACAATATAATGAAAAAACACTAAAAATATCAAAATGTCTATAATTTACATTGTAATGTAATTTATTAAACAAAAGTATATTGGAAAAAAAATAATTTTTAATAACTTTTAACTTTTATTTTTTTATATTACGTTCTTTTCGAGTTACCCTCTTTTAAGTTTTTAGTTCAAATAAATTTATAAATGTGAATGATTTTTAATAATTTAATATAGCAAATAGCTTTTAATTCAAATATATATATATTTTTTACAAATATATATATTTTTTACTAATAATGAGGAGGTGGTGGTAGAGTGGTGTTTGAGGTGGTGGTGGTGGAGCAATGGTGGTACATTAATTACATTACATATTTATAAATAAATATAAAAAATGAATAGCGATTATATTCCATAAATTTTTTCAATTATATTATCAAATATAATAATGAAATCTTGATTATATTATATTGCATTATATATTTGATTACGTTATATTGCATCACATTAAAATAAATATAACTTTAAAATTTATTTGATAAAATTAATTATTTTGACGGCTATTTTATCGTCATTTAGCGGTTAAATGGATCCACCAAGTCAGGTACCTATATTCACCATCAATAATAATAAAAAAATAAAAGATGCGCGTCTTTCCTTCCAGATAAACAGATAATGCTAAGCTTTTGGTGGGGTCAGCTTAGCTGTCATTTGGAGCCATTTCCTATGGGTTACGTCACCTATTTTGCCTTTATTCGCGACCTTCTTCTTCTTTACGACAATAAATCCTTTTTTATATATTATTAGTATTAGTATTATTATTATTATTTAATATTATTAGTATTATATTATATTAATTATTTAACAATGAATTATTGCCTTTTCTTTTATTAACTAAAAATAACGGGCATGATAACGTGCATCCACGCAGTATGTGCAAGCGACGCTGATGCAATGATTTTTGTACGAAGAGATTGATGATATGGCAAGAAAGTGGGGCCAACGCCTTTGCCATGTCAGCTACAGCCACTTTGTCGTTTTTGAGCTGAAGTTGGCATTGGCCACCACTATGGACTACTTTGTTTGTAGTTTGTTAATTCGTTTCTGTTGGGAAGACAAAGCTTTTACATTAAGCTACTTCAAAAACCTTTGACCGGCTAACGTGCTTGAGAAAATAAGACCAAGGAAATTTGACTAAATATTGATTTTTTATTCTTAAAAAATGGAAAAAAAATGTGGATAAACTAAACATGTTGGGCAAGATCACTGAATTTTGATCTGAAGCATTTAGGTATTAGCTCAATCTAAAATATTAATTGCTTAATACTCAATTCAGACTAATAGAGGTGATTTATATATGTTTTCAAATGAAAATGTTTACGTTATTATATTTGTACATTTTGAATTAAAAATGATAATATATTAATGATAAAAGAACAATATATGATTATCCTCTCTATCCTAAAATTATAATTTATTTTGATATTTGTATGCAAATTAACAAAAATTATTTAAATGAAGTATTTTATATTTGGTTTACTAATTTTGCTTTAATTAATAAATTATAACTTTAGTTAATTGAGTAACGTACAATTAATTTAAAATATTTAAAATCAATATTATTATGAGATGAAAGGATTATTTATTTGATTAGCACAAGTATCAGGCTAAAAAGAAGGATGACAAATAATGCATCCAGTTAGGAGGGCATGTTGATATATAATATGGTTTGATAAGGACTCTGTCGAGGCAGAATATAGTATTATTTATCAAATTGTATATATAAATGAATTAGAATCTGAAATTCGTTTGGGAATATTCTGAAAGTAATACTATTTTTGAATGTATGAAGTTAATATTAGAAAATATGTCATTGAATTGTTTAAGAATGAAACTTAATTGGAAAGGTGGAATGGGATGATGATAGGATACATTCTCCCTTAATCAAACAAATGTTTCAAGTTCAGTACACCAACGCATGGCTTAATAGTAATTGCATATACGAGTTGGCAATAAATCTAGATTCAAAATACTTTTAAACGCTTTAGTTCGAATTTCCCTTCGCAAGCATACTCAACATAAATTTAGATTAATATTTTTGTTTTGAAAGTTTGAATTTTACATATAGATATATCATGACCTTACACATCGTTGTTAGAGGCTGAATACATAAATTTATTCATGAATTTCGTAATTTTCATTTTGTGGCACTTTAAACTTTGTAGACGATTGATTATGCACTTAAAATTACAAATTTTAATAATATCACATGTCTTTTCATACTAACAACAACAATTTTAGAATTTTGGCTGTTACATATATAAAATATCAATATGATATGTAGTTAGCATAACTTTGGTAACAAATAACTTTTACATTTTTAAAATTATTTTAATAGATGTTTAATTAATCTAATTTTATAAGTTGAAGTATTCAATAAAATGATTTTATAAATTGAAGTGTTTAATAGATATAATTTTATAAGTCGAAGTGTTTGATATGTTAAAATACCAACGATGTCACGTGACTAAAATAATAAAATCTAAAAGTGAATTTATATATCCAACCTTTTGTTAAATAACTCGTGTTTTTTCTAATTTTCTTTTTATACAATTGGATGGTTTGTTTTCTAGAGTTTTCTAAATTATACATTATGGTAGTGACTGTCGATAATTAATAAATTAGAAAATATGCATTTATAAAATTATAATAAGTTTGTCAATGTATCTCTTGAAAATGAGAAATCAATTTCCTTAAAAATGATTTATTTTTCCTTTGCCCTGGAAAATAATTTTCATTGACTTATTTTTCTAAATAACCCTATCAATGAAAAATTGTGAAAAATATTTTTTTTTCAAGTTATTTTACAGAAATAAACGGAGCGTTAATTATTTTTATTTTTGTCATAATTCTAAAAATTCTAAGCGAAAAAGAGTATGTTTTTATAGCCGAATATGACAAGCGAAAAATCGTATAAATATATTATTTAGCTAGAGTTTTTTTTTTTGCCCTTTGAGATACTGATTTAGCCAGAGTTGGGAATTATTTAATTTCACAGACTCAAAATAAGTTGGATTGCCAAAATTATCAATAGAAACAATAATATAAACTTTAAAAAATCCTAAAATATTTTTGAACAATTGTTTTAATTGCAATATTAACTTTTATCAACGATTTTATTTGCTGTTAATTAAATATTATGAGGTAATATTTTCATAATTTATCAACCTATATCTAAATATTAATACAAGCACTATGCCATAATAGGAGTTTCGTGTTAGAATTTTTGGAAAAACGTTTTTTTCTTTTATTTACGGCTGGCAAAATAGACTGAGCCAGTTTAAATCCGGAAATTGCGGGCACCATTTCCTTCCCTTGTCCCTTGCATAAATGCTCAAAAATACCACACGTGACCCATAAAGAAAATTGAATAAAAAAAACAAAAAAAAAGTAATTTAGTAACATTCGGAAGGGCAGTTTGGGAATTAGATTCCCTCCATAGGTATTCTCGCAGTTTCCCACTTCTTTCTTGCGTGGCATCTTCGTGGATGCAATCATAGCCGTCCGATATATGTCCAAATTGCCAATAACGAAACCCTAGTTCTCGTCAATTTTATAACTTTCAAATCCTCAATTCAAAAAAAGCTCGCAAACAAATCAGATACGAAGAGAAAACGGATAGGAGAGAGAGACACGCCAAAGCCCAATCCTCTCATCAACCTGCCTATCTTCCCTGTAAAAGAGTTTCATTTCCTAATTTATAATCGAATTAGACTTTCGATTCTTGGGTTTTTTGATTGAATTGATGGAGAGACTGGGGTCGCCGCCGGATATGGAGTCGCTTGGGTACGTTAGCTGGGAGGAGGTGAACGTTTCGAGCGATAAAGGGAGGAGAGAGGTTCACTATTACTTGAAGAGAATGGATGGAGGATTAGATCTGGCTGTGATAGGGAAAGAGAGGAGCTTGAGGCATATGTCTTATCACTACGCTGTTAGGAATAGGTCGATTTTATTGTCTATGGGGCCGTCTTTGAAGCTCAAGTCGAGACGAGAGGTCCTTGATTGGCTCAACTCTATTGTTTCAGGTACAAATGATTAGAGGGATAAATAAAAACTTAATGTTTTTTACGGATTTTTATTTTTATTTTTCAAATTTTGGAACTTTGGGGTTTTGGGTTTTTGGTTTTTGGTTTTTGGTTCTGTGCAGAATTTTTTAGCCAGATCCAAGCTCCTCATATGTTTGGGATTGGATGCGCATGGAATTCATTGATTTAAATTTCATTTCCTTCTTGTGACTTGTTTCTTCTTAAAATCTTTTTTTATTTATCCTTAAATTAGTTCAAGGAGATAAGGAATCTGCCTTTGCTATGCCCTCATAATTCGCCAAAGTTTGAAATTTTGGATATTTTGCTACGTTATTCTCACCGATGAGAACCTGTTCTATATCTCAGTGTTTTCTTTATATTTGTCCTGCTTCTATTCTACACAAATTAGAACATAACGGCCTAGAGTTGGTTTGCACGTGAATTTTTTCGATTTCAAATCTGCGTCTTTCCGAAACTATTTGCTCTTCACGGCAATTCGAGTTTTGGGGACTGGGGGACTGATTCGTAACAAATTTGGTTGTGATGGTTTAGCGTTTCATAGGTATTCTTGTTACTGCTATTTTTAATATATTTTTGATGTTTGTGAAAAATATTTTTCGCATTTTATAACGGATATATCTCTGTTTCTATTGAACTTTTTCTTGTTAAAGTCGTTTGATAGATTTTTTTTTTTAAAATGTTTTTTAAGTCAATTTTAATTTAATTAGTTGTGACATTTTTAAGAAAAATGGTTTCTTCCCCTTTTGAACATGTTCTTTATGTTAGTATATTTTGGTTTTGGTTTCATGAGAGCAGGAAAATACCCAGGATAACATTTGTGATCTTTCTGGGTTTATCTTGTGAATTTGGTTTCTTCTAGTCAATAAATTAATGAATTTTGCTCCTTCATCTCTTTTTTTAAACCAAAAAGATGATAACTTCAAATAGCATTAATGATTTCAACCTCTTTTTGATTTTCAATTTTGAACCCTCAAGATCTATGCTTCTATATCTATTTTTTAGTTTTTATTTTTTCCTCTTCATATAGTCATTACAATGGATTTTCTTATACCCTTATCCACCCTTTTTTCTGTTTCTTTCCATGATTATAAACCTTGCCCTAGCCATAATCAACATCTAGCATTTCTGGTGTCATGTTGCTGCAAACTGACTGTGATCTGGGCTGCAGGAATTCTTATTCAATTTTAAAGAGCTGATTGACAGCATCGGATCCTTGTGGCCTCAATATCTAGGTTAAGATCTTTCATGGCCAGATTTATTACGTTTTACATGAGTGTTTTTGATCTGTCTATTGTCATATTGAATCTTGAAGACTCCAGTCAAGATACTTTCCTGCATGATTTTTTGTCATCTTTGTTATTTCTTGTGGAAATTTGTTGATCTTATGATTGAATATGTTTCTTTCTTGCCCCTGATAGATTTTCTTTTCACTATCCGTTTTGGTTCCTTTCTGGTGATAGCTCATTATTCAGTATGAATGTACTTTTGATTTGTCAGATTCACATCTCCTTGAGTCATCCAACCGATTGGGTTCTTTGGATGCTAGTGCTGCTTCTGAATTGGATATTAAAAACATTAAGGTATAAACGGTGTCAATCAACTTTTTGCCTTTTCATATTTTTCCCTTCAAGATGTTTGATTTGTCAGATTCAATTGTCCTTTTTTTTAAAATCCTTACATGTTTTATTTACAGGATACTCAACTACAGAAGTTGGGCCATCATACGAATGCTTTTTTATGGTTAGGTTCTCCATGGACATGTAGAAAAAGACGAAAGCATTATCAGTCTTTTTGCCGGAATGGTGTCAAGATTTCTGTGAGTGCTTTTTTGGCATGTTATTTCTTTTATGTGGTTCATACTTCAGTTTATGTGCTGTTACTTACACTGCTTTTTGTCTACCTCTTGTTGAACTTCTTCTAGGTTCATGACTTTGTATACGTCTTAGCTGAAGAGGACAAAAGGCTTGTTGCTTACTTGGAAGACATGTACGAGGACTCTAAAGGGAACAAGATGGTTGTGGTACGATGGTTTCACAAAATTGATGAGGTTGGTATTACTTTACCTCACAATTATAATGACAGAGAGATTTTCTCTTCTCTTTGTCTTCAAGATCTCAGTATTGAATGCATAGATGGAAAGGCCACTGTCCTCAGTCCTCAGCACTTTCAGAAGTTCCGAGATGAGGCGATGCACACCATGCTGGATCCATTCGTTTGCTACAAGCAGTTTGAGAGTGAAGATATCAAGCCCTTTGACATTACTCAAGTCAAAGGTTACTGGAAACAAGAAATACTTAGGCAGATGTATATGGTTTCTCCCCTAAAGGATCAGACAAATTCTCATTGCTCTGGTGATAGCCCGAAAGTGGAAGCAAATTCCAATGATGATTCCGGGATCAGACCTAGGAAGAGGCTTCGTCGATTAAAAGACAATGATATTTGTAGTGGGAGTAAAGAATCTATGGGCACTTTAAGTGTGGATATGAATATCTTACCTAACAGTGGGTTTGACTGCAGAAGTGGAATCGGGACCTCCAATCTACCGGGAGGAGAATCTACTGCTCTGTTGTGTACAACAGAGGCCAAGCAAAGTTCTCAGTGTCTAAATGTTGGTTCTGAAGTTGAAGTGCTTTCTCAGGATAGTGGGATTAGAGGGTGTTGGTTTAGAGCATTGATAATTAAGATGCACAAAGATAAGGTGAAGGTGAGATATCAAGATGTTAAAGATGCGGATGATGAAGCAAATAATTTAGAGGTGTGTCTTGTTTACTCTCTTTTTTTACCTTCTTATGTTCTGCTCTTTGTTATGGGAAAAGAAGAGATAACCCAGTTTAATATGTTTTATTAACATATATTTTCTTGTTTGTTTTTTGCAGGAGTGGATTTTAGCTACCAGAGTTGCAGTTTCTGACCAATTGGGTATCCGGATCAATGGAAGAACGGTTGTTCGTCCTGCCCCAAAGTTAAACAAGGGTCGAGTATCATGGGGTTTCAATGTTGGGACTGCTGTTGATGTTTGGTGGCATGATGCTTGGCAGGAAGGCATCGTTGTTCATAAAGCATCTGAAGATAGATTTCATGTCTATTTCCCAGGTAAGAAAAAAATTCAGTCTCCTGACAGTAATTTTAAAAAGTATATTAAGTTTCAAGGGATGATTTTTTTTTTCTTTTGCTTTCAATTTTTTCAAATATTCTTTCTTTCTTTTTGTCAGGGGAAATGCAGGAATCAATCTTTGGCCATGCTAACCTGAGACATTCGCAAGAATGGTTGGGGAATAGGTGGATGCATATCAAAGAAAGGCCGGATATTGTGAATTCTATTGCGTCTTTAAAGCAAGTTGTCAAATCTGTTGAAAACAAATTGGTTCGACCTGCCATTTGTGAGGCCTCGCAACCGGAAAAAAGTAAAGTTATATATAGTGATTATTCTTCAGATTCTGGAAGTGATAGGGGAAGAGAACCAGATGTGGTTCGAGATCTTTTGAAGGATGATTTTCTAGCCCAGTTAAGGTGGAACAAATCAAAGAAGAGGAGACGAGGTAATGGGAGCTCTGGCCAGAGGACGCATCAAAAGGGTAAATCCAGTGGGACCTCGACAAAATTAGTAGCCAGTGCAAACGCCTGTGACAGATTTGTGCTTCCAATGAGACTTAAACTTGATCATGAGAATTGCAAGTATATGGGGGATTCTTTATTCTGTTCTGGTGTTGCACAGCCACTAACAAGCTTGGTTATGTCTAGGTGATAGAATTTTTTATTTTTGGGAGGACGAAAAAGCTTTTGATGACCATCTCTCAAAATAGATGTTACTCATTGTTTTTGGTTTTTTAGATATATATGTCTTGTTGTGCATGCACTCGATGCACTTAGCTTTAGCTTTCTAACTGATATCATCAAATATGAATGCCATATTAACATGTAGCTCCTCTCGCTGCCTCATATTGATATAAATGTAACAATAGCCTGTATCTGCCCTGGTGCTTGTGATCCACAAGTTTCAGGCTGCATTTTTTGGTTGAACTTGCACACTGCATATTATGTGCCTTTAGTAGTATTTATAGGTGATTTCAGCTTTGTATAATTTTCATATCAATCTCTCTGATAATAAACGTTTTATCTTTTTTCCTTCCTCACATTCAGTTTTGTCAGATATTTCATGGAATTGTCGTTGTAAATTTAGTTCAATGAGGATCTTGAACGCCAACTGTTTGTTTTCTTTCTGATTGCGTAATCTATTCTGAAGTACGGCTTTGTGAGTTGCGAAACTTTGTTTGATTGGATGCCAATTTAACCATAGGGACCGAAAGCGTCCACATAATGGTTGTGTGGGTTCCATTTTGGAGGATCCAAGAGTATGATGATGTCTACGATTGAACAACATGATCTCTGTTTTGTGAAGCTTGGCTTAGTTCTTGTTGACCTGCCCTACTCATATAAATATTCTGTAATCTGTAAAGCGTGATTTAATCTTGTTTTGTTAATATTATTGGCTCTATTAGTTTTAATTTTATTGTTAATTATAGAATAAGATAAATATACACACAAATGGATCTGAGCTGTTAAACACTGTCAATGAATGATAGGCTCCAGTAAGTTGGCAAATTAAGTCCAATGAATTTGCTGGGTTGTTGTACTCAGCTATAACTGATTTGTTTGGTTCAGGTTAATCCACTCAGATAGCATCAACACCGCTGAACAATCAAAGATCAGTTAGGTCTAAAACTTTTTATTTTAGTTTATGTGTTAGTGTTTAACAGAGAGCTGAGTTGAGCTGAGCAGTCAAAACTGTTCTAGGCATTTTTTGGCGTCGACTCAGCTTCGTTGGCTCGTTGCTTAGCAGCCATCGTCACGCTTCCTGTGACATGATTGATTATTGATTAATTAAGTTGAAAAACTTGAAAGTTGTGTTTGGTCTTATAAGTAAGCTATGTAGAATAATTCCAAGGGAGAAAATTCTAAAACAGTGGTGGATGTGGGCCTGCCTTTTTGAAGGAGGCATCTTGTCAACTATGTGCATAAAGACCTTTCTCAGTTCTCACTTTATTTCTGTGCTCCTATGGCTTTCCCAAAATATTTTATCCTCTTGTTTTAGTTATTTTTCTCCAACAATTGAAGCATCTCAAAAGATGGGCTTGCTCTATCAGTACAGCAGCAGTCGTTCTTAGATCTTTTTCTGTGTCTCTGTCTCTCTCTCTTTCTCTTTGCAAGATGGGATTTAACTTAGCACCTTACTTCTTTCTTTATATGAATAGTTTGTCTGTTTAAGTTACCCATAGCAAAGATATGGCTCTTGCTAATCGGCCCAAGAAGGTGACATCAAGAATTGAATTCAAGAAGCCAAAAAGCATGCTTCTTCCTTTAACTAGCCTTGCCTCTGTTGAATCCTTATCAGTCCCTCTTGTTTGTACTCTCTCTCTCTCCCACTCTGCTTATTATGCTTTTCTTATCATGTGAAATTTTAAAGGATAAAGGCTCCGTGGTTCGTGTTTGTTTTGAGCAGGTCCAGGAAGTTGTTCTATCAGCAGATATTCGATGCACAGAATGTCAAAAGAAAGTAGCTGAAATAATATCAAGAATGAATGGTAAGATATCTAATGTCCTAACTGTGGTCTAAGCTTCCACATAACTGTAGCCACTTTGCCATTAGTCTGGTAGCTCAGTGGCCGAAAGCAGGAGGTCAAGGGTTAAAATCTGAGCTCCTTAAAAATCATTTGATATACAAAAATAGAAAAATTATGTTCTATGGTTCTTCATCGGTGTACCAATTATTTTGGAAATATACTTGGGAGAATTTTCCCAGTGCTAAAATTGATGGTTGAACAAATGGAAAAAAGTATTCTTTTTCTATTTTCTCATAAAAAGTTGGTGGTGGTCCTGGTTGCGTGCCTTTTATGCAGACATTTTTGCCTTCTTTGTTTCTTTTAACTAGTGCTTTCTATAGTAATTAGATAGGAATATTTGAGCTTCAAATAGTTTTTAAAGATTTCTGTGCCTCTATTATGGGTAAATCTCATCTAATGTTAAGATAAGCTGGTCTATACATGTTGAGAAATCAAAATAAAAAAAAAAAAAAAGAAAAAAAAGAAAAAGGTGCGATTCTTGCTAAAGTGTCTAAGTCCAAAGTCTGTTGCATTATTGGGGAAACCATCACTTTGGCTGTTCTGCAAATTTGATACTGTAATAATAGATAAATTATTGATAGCCTTTGGTTTCATTTTCTTGTACTGTTCTTTTTTTTTCAGATGTATGTGAAGTAGGGTATATCAGATGCATGCTTGATGCATAGTTGTCTTTTTGCTACAATACTTGATGAGTTCTTTGCAACTTGACCTGAGTTAAGATTCTTGATTTTCAGTTCAAAATAGAATTTTGCAGTTAAAGCTAAACTTCGGTGTAGTTTTTGCAGAGACAGATTCTGTGTCAGTTAATGTGTTGGAAAAGAAGGTAACTCTTACTTGCAGATATCCTGCATTTAAAGTACCTTCAAAGCAAGTTGCTGCTATAAACAGGAACCCTTTTAGCAAAATCGCCACCATCAAGCGGATGTTCAGAAATAGTTAACATGGGTCCAAAGTTGCAATATATGCGACTTGTAATATTCTCTGCCTGGAATGTGGATAGCCTGTGAACAACACAATTTTAGCGGAAAAAAAAAAAGGTGTATCAAGTTGAAGCAGCTTTGTACATAATTGTTATGTAACAATTGAAAAATTGTAGGACAAAATTCTATGTTTTTATGGTAAAGATTCACTTTTCTTGAGCAGTTAAACAGTTACATCAATCTCACCTTGCTTTCAAGTTACTTGTCATTGTAAAACTTTAATTTCTTGGCCTTCAGGGCAATTAAATTATGGTAAGGTAATGGCGAGATGGCTTAAATTTTGTGTAACAGAACCTTATCCAACAAGGAAGAGATGCTTCATAATATGCAATGAAGTAAAAGGAGTGCTTTCCCCTCAACCTTGAAGTTAAGGATAATAGCTTAAGTGTGACAAACAATGCCTTCACTTTAAAGTCTATAAGGAGAATCAGATACCACAAAGAAAGTTAAGAATTTCTAGCAGACAAGTCTCTGATTCTTCAAATCCCCAAAAAATCCAACCATTTCCTTTTCATTACCTTCTTTTTAGCCATCATCATAAAATCATCATTTACACCTTGAAAATGTCTGTTCACAGCTTCACACAAGCCAAGGCAAGGACAAAAAACATACTTAAGGAATTTTTGTTTCCTTTCTTTTTCGAACTCAGTTAAAATAAAACAAACAAAGATTTATTAAACACTAATTGGGTATTAATGTTCTTTTGCAGACTTGTTGTATGGTAATCAGAATTAACCTCGACTGCAATTCTTGCTGCAGAAAAGCGAGGAAAATTATACTCAACATGAAAGGTAAAAACTGATTCAATTAATGAAATGAAGAAATTAATTGTCCTCCATAGCTATCTAGATTCTCCGTTGAGTATTACTTACATGCAAGTCTCTTCTTTTCTTCATTGTAGAGATAGAGACGCATATGATAGCTAAACAGGAATGCAGAATAGTTCTGTGTGGAAGATTTACACCAGCAGATGTCGCGATAAAGTTAAGAAAGAAGATGAATCGCAGGGTGGAAATATTGGAAATACAAGAGTTCGGTGGCAGTGATGATAGACCTGAAGAGTCGAGGCCATTAATCTCTGGCTAATCCACAAAATAGAATATTCTGAAGAAAGAAAATTCCGGAGACGACCAATATGAAATTGAACATGATGTGTAGAGATAAGTATATACTTTTTTTCTAGAAATGTGAAAACAAATGTTAGAACAGATGCAAAAGAATGAACAAGCGTAGATTGTAGTTTTTACATTGCAAAATGTTACTCTAGAATGTTTTTGTCTTCGAAAATTTTTAAGAAAATTAATCAGTATGATCAAGAATTAGTGATTTAACTCATTTGGGAAACTATCAGGACAATATAAGACCACGGCCATCAATTTGTCTATTGATGTACAGGTACATGAAAGATATGGTTGAATTGGTTGAACTCTCCAATTTAACGAATCTTTACCTTCATCGATTTACTGGTCCAAACATTAGCTATTACTATTAATTAAGATTTTTCTTTTTTGTATATGAGAAAAAAAAAAGATTACAAATTGAAAGTAAATATCCAATAATTCAAAAATCTTAAATTTTGACGTCAAAATTATGATTTTAATCGCTGATATGAAATAGTTTTCTTTTTCATTGGATTGAATACTACCTCGATTTCTAAATACTTTGACCTGTGAAATTTCACTTTCTTAATAAAATCATTAAATTTATTTAATTATAAATTATTGGATAGATTGATTATATTATCTTTAATTTAATATTTGCAAAATGTAAAATGAAGCAATAATTATTAATCATATAGGATAAAAATGAAAAAAAAAAATACTCCTTAAAATTATAAATATGATAATTATTTTGCAACATATGACTTTGTAGATGTGACTGAGTATTTAGTATCGAGGTTGTATATGATATATTCGTAAATCGTAAGAGAAGTCCTCTCTCCCAAGCCCCAAATATGCATTGAATCCCATTCCAAACTCTAAAACCCAAACACTGTATTCATTGGATTGGGGCAGTAAATTGGGCTATGGCCTTTCCGGCACGTGTGGAAAGTTCCATAAGATCTTAATTTTAAAATCGCTGCCACGGGCCAGATCTTCGCTTTCCTCACTCGAGTCGATTTTCATAATCGGGAAAGGAAAGGAAAAGAGAGGAAAGGAAAGGAATTGAAATCCATAATTCCGGCACTAAAACAAAGAATACCCAATTTCTGAGCCTCACAGATTCACAATTCTAGATTTCACCCTCCATCGTTTGTGCTCACAAATCATATCTAGCGCGCCTTGTCGAAGCGAAAAAACTCCAAAACAAAACCCTAGCCCTAGATTTGCTATACAATCAAAAACAACAAACAATGGCTAGCGATGCTGATGCCTCTCGTCGCAAGCACCGTCGATCACCCTCAGATGAGGAGGCGGATAAGTCCTCGAAGCGACACAAACATCGCCACCACCGTCGCCACCACCACCGCTCGCACCGAAGCAAAAAGCACGGTGAGGAAAGTAAACAAGGTGGTGAAGAAACTGCTCCACCTTCTCCTCCTCCGGTTCCTGTTACTGTTTTTGGTAATTGTAATGATAGGATTGATGATGATGTGGAGGAAGGGGAGATTTTGGAGGAGGAGGGTTCTGGTGGTGTAGGTGTAAAGGATATTGACTTACGCAGTGAAGGAGTCGGTTTTCAAAATCTGGTGTGTTCTATCTGCCCTTATGTGTTTCAATTGTTTAATCTAATTGTTTCTGTTCAGCTTTGGTTTTCTGTTTGGTCACTAATAAAATTGGGGAAAGAGATATGTAATACATTTGAGATTGAGAAAGCTCGTTTTTGTCAAGAAAAGCCTTTTTGACTTTTTTTTTTTCTTTAAAACTTTTTTCTCCTACTCTGTTTTTTGAACTAACTTTCCCAGTGGCCAAACGGATGCTTATGGTGGTGTTTTGATTTCTATGAATGGAATGATGGATATTTTTTGTTTGGTGAGAGCTTTTTAGACTATGTCCCATACACATATGTAAGAACCTGCTTGCACTACACACGAACATGAGTGAATTGCAAAAAGAAAGAAGTTTCCTAGGCGTTTCAATGGAGAACTGGTGGCTTATTGTTGATTTGTAAGAGCTAGTTACATGTTTTTTTTTTTTCCTATTTCATTTCTGCATGCTCACTACATTTGCATCTGAATTACTTATTAAGTAGCGTTTATCATACCTCTGCAGTTCACGCACCTTAATTGTTCTTCATTGTATTGCAGGGAGTGAATGCTGACAACAGTGACAGTGGTTTGACAAATTCTAACAAAGCTATCACGTTTGACACTAAGTTTAGCTTGCCAAAAGATTCTAGGGCCAAGATTCAAGATGAATTAGTTCCAAGAGATGGCCTCAAAGTCGATGCTAATGGAGATTTGGGTCATGAATATTATAGAGATGGCAAGAAACGATATGACGAATCTGGGTCCTCTTCTAAAGGAAGCCACAACCGAAAGATTTATGGTGATGTTGATGCATCTACACCTGAAGGTGGTGAAAGCAAATTAAGCGATTGGGGGAGGTCTTCTTCTTCTGAGAGTGAGGGGCATAAGCACAAGACGGTAGCAGCAGCATCTCTTGATAGGAACCATGATGAGGTTCTTGCAAGGAGTAGATCTTTGTCTCGTGATTTTGCTAGGGACAGATCTCGGTCCCGCAGCATTGTAGAAGAGGAGATTCTTTTGAAGAGAAGGCGGCATGATGAAAGGGTTGATAATGATTCTGATGATGAAAAAATTGCTAGACGTCATAGGTATCTACGGTATGGCAGTACAGATTTAGACAGGGAGCATGGTAACAGCTACACCAGAAACTTGGGACGGGAAGACAGTCATAGCAGCTGGGATGTGCAAGGCAGAGAGATGAACAGGGAGAAGGAGAAAGAACGGAGAAGGGAGCAAGAACGAGAGAGGAGCAGGGACAGAGATCAAAGAAGAGAGGAACGAGAGAGGAGCAGTGACAGGGGGCAGAGGAGAGAGAAGGAACGAGAGAGGAGCAGGGACAGGGATCTTAGAAGAGAAAAGGAACGGGAGCAGAGCAGGGATAGGGACTTAAGAAGAGTGAAGGACAGAGAGAGGAGCCGAGATAGGGATCTGAGAAGAGAGAAGGAGCAAGAGAGGAGCAAGTTCACAGAGATTGACAGGGACTGGAGAAGAGAGAAGCAACTACATAGGAGCTTGGATAATGAGGCGGATAGAGATTGGGATAGGAAAAGGGAGAAGGAACTAGACAGGAGCAGGGATAGGGAAGAGGAGCTGGACCAAAAAAGGCAGAAAGAAAGAGAGAAAAGCAAAGATAAAGACATGTCCAGGGCTAGTGTTAGGCATAGAGATAGGAAGAGAGATAATGATAGGTATAGGGAGAGAGATAGAGTTAGGGACCGAGATTGGGAGAGTGAAAGGGAACGGGAGAGGCGAGGTGATAGGAATAGGGAAAAGGCCAGGGACATTAAGAGCGATTCAATAAAGGTCTATAATTCTCATGGTGATTCGTTAAAAGGTGATAGAGATAAACTAGAAAGGTATTACTTATCCCTCCATGTTTGTTTATTTTATTTCACATTTAATTCTTTTATCATTCAAAAGAACTGTTATTAACTGTTATTTTTCATCTCACTTTTTTTTTTTTTTTTTTAAATTTTTTGTTGTCCTAACTGGCTCTAGAGACGAGAAAGAACAGGATGATTTTGAGGAAAGGATTTCGTTAAAACTTGCTGAACAGGAGGAAGATCTTGATAGAGTTAAGGAGGAGAGTAGAAAGCGCAGGCAAGCTATCCTTGAAAAATATAGGAACCAGCAGTTACAGCAGCAAAATGAGAGACAACCAAAAGGTGTGGAAAAAGGTGCGTTTAATCTTTATTTGTGCATTGCATTAGTTTTTTCTATGCTTAAGTTAACTTAGAAATTAGCTTCCTAGTAGTTGCTCTGTTTGAGGTAAGTTTGATTTTCAAGTTATGCATACTGGCAGCTCAGATCTGGCCTTAAGGCAGCCTTCTCAGTTGAAGCTCCACTCTGTAAATTAGCATCCTACAAGTGGACTTCGTCCCGCTTTGCCATGAGACATCATAAGCATTTTTTTATATTTAATTTATTAAATTTTTTCCTTAAAATTATATCTCAAATTATTAAAAATATTTTTCAATCGAGAAAGAATTAAACCTATATATATATGCGCTATGTTTTTTAGGTTTTCAAATTCTTAAAGATTTAAATTTTGAGATTTTTTATATATAACTTTGAATTATTTACAATATGTAATATTTATATTTTTAGAAGTGTTGAAATTGAATAAGTATTTTATTATAATAGTTATGGTTAATGTAAGACCAATAATAAAAGTGAAATATTCCAAAAATAACTAATCTGCCAATACCATCACATAGTTAAATGATCTAACAATTAAATAAAATATATTAATAGCATTAATTCTAAAAATATATCTAATAAATAATGCTATGATTTTTAAATGTTGAATATATTTTTAACATATATCCACATGATTTATATCAATAGCATCACACGTTTTATTAATATTTTTAATGATCAAAACAATAGCATCATAGATTTTATGAATATTTTTAAAATATTAAGGATATATCATCAGGTGATGTGTGATGCTGTTGAATAAGAAATTTCTTTCTTCTTAAAAGAATGCAATTTGAATGTTTAAAAACAAAAATTGCCTGATGATTTAGTAAAATGGACAATGGAGTTGATTTATTAATGCAATGCAGTGTTGGCAGTTGACAATTTTTGGCATGTGGAAATGTTGGAAATTGGGCAGGGCGATTAGCAAGTGAAGGTGGGCCACATAGCTTCTTTTGCATAGAAGAGCAGAGCAGTTATTTTACTTTTACTGTTCTTATGAACTGTAAAATTGGCTTTTTTTTTTTTTTTTCATAGAGACAGTGTGTACGTGTAATGAGAAAATGTCCTAGTAAGAAAATATGATTTCTGAATTGGATTTCATAGCATGTAAGGGTTACAGTGCCTGTAAATTTGGCAATTTAAAAACTAAACATTTGATTTCTTAAGTTGGATTTGGACCTAGCCTATATTGAAAAGTGTTCGCATTAGTACTTTGCCAAAAGAAAAAGATATTGTTGACAGTATATTTTTGTAGCATTAGGTATTTTGGCAATGTTGCAATTCTGGTATATGAGTTGGAAGTGTGAAAGAAAAATCTAGCATTTTACTGATTGATGATTGAGCTTGAAACAGACTTGGCAAAAACTAGGATTGTTTGCCTAATGCTTTTATTTGTTTATCTGTTTTATTTTTCACTCGTGTTCTATGCCACTTATATTCCATTACTCTGTGTGTCGAGCAGATGTTGAACCTTCACAATGTGCCGTCCAATCACCACCGGCTTCTAATATTGCACAAGAAACTGTTGAAATCAAGATTGATGATGATGCCTATGTTGCTGAACCATCATTTTCTGTGGGTAAGTTGCCTCCACAAAATGGAAAAGAGGCTTCTGACGGGACCTCTGGTGCTGTAGGACTTGGAGAGGGTACTCCAAAGGTATGTCCTTTACTTTCAAAATTGTTTGCTGAGTGATGGTTTTTGAAAAGCACATTTTTTGCTTATGATACTTATTTTATTGCTTTGGGCAGAGTGAGGGGTCAGATGAAAAATATTGTGATGATATATTTGGGGAGACACCAACAGGAGTTCGTAAATCAGTAAGATCCATAGCTTTATGCAATCCTTTTTTTGTCTGCTTATCATCTCTTACACTCGTTGAGTTACATTTGTTTACATCCTGTGATAGAACAGTGAATCCAACTGGGATTACTCTTTGTGCATCTTATTTTAGTTTATTTTAATACTTGGAATACTTATCTTGCATGTTATGAGAATTATGGACAAATATGCTAAAATTTTCTGTGTGTAAACTTATGCAGGGCAAAGGAGATGGTTTACCAATTGTGCGGAGTGGTCTTAATGACAACTGGGATGATGCTGAAGGTTATTATGGTGAGTATGGCAATATGTGGTCATTTCTTATTTTAAAATTTCTTTTATTTTTTCTGTTTTATTCCTGAATATTGTCGGAAGACTGTACGTTTAAATCAGAAATTAAGTGTTTTCCTGTGGTACTAAAAAATTATGGTATGAGTCTAATATTATTTAAATCTACTATTTTCTACCTATTTAGTCTGTTTAGAAATTTTCTTTGGACATTGTTTCTATTTACTTATTTTCATTTGCGTTTTCAAGTTAAGGCTTGGCTCAAAGTTTTATACAAATTAAGAAGACGTCATTTTATATCATTGTTTAGATGACAATGAGTTAATATCTCATTTCTCTTATTTGTCCTATAGGGTTTTGTTTATGAACCTTGGAAGGCAATACAGTGATTAGGTTGATCTTTGAATCAATCTTTTACTTCTGTTCCTCCAATATTTATCTTGTTTCATTATTTCATTTGATTATTACTTTTCTTTATAGGCTACCGTTTTGGTGAAATTCTTGATGGTCGGTATGAAATTGTGGCTGCTCATGGCAAGGGCGTCTTTTCCACAGTAGTTCGTGCCAAGGACTTGAAAGCTGGCATTGGTGAACCCGATGAGGTGGCCATAAAAATCATACGTAATAATGAAACAATGTGAGATATCACTACCAGTATTTGTTCTTTGTATGTCTTATCATTGTTAGTAGTATAACAACTGATTTGATATGCTTCTGTGATGTAGGCATAAAGCTGGTCAGACAGAGGTCCAAATATTAAATAAATTAGCAGGGTCAGATCCAGAAAACAAGCGCCACTGTGTTCGTTTTCTTTCAAGTTTCAAGTATAGAAATCATCTTTGTTTAGTTTTTGAATCTCTTCATATGAACCTTCGTGAAGTCTTGAAAAAGTTTGGTCGCAATATTGGTCTTAAACTAACTGCCGTGAGAACATATGCAAAGCAGCTTTTTATTGCTTTGAAGCATCTTAAGAACTGTGGTGTTCTCCATTGTGATATAAAGCCTGATAACATGCTGGTATGTCTCTTGTACACCACATGCTTATGTTGCCCCTCCAGTTACTTATGGTTTCACTATTCGTTATTTAATTTCCTCTCTTCTTTTTTTAGGTAAATGAAGCAAAAAATGTTTTGAAGCTTTGTGATTTCGGCAATGCCATGTATTCTGGTAAAAATGAGGTTACACCATACCTTGTAAGCCGCTTCTATCGAGCTCCAGAAATAAGTAAGTTTCAGTCTTGAGCTATTATATGGGATGTGCTTTCTTATTGGACCAATGATTAAAAAAATGCGTATAGTTTACTTTTTGGGTACTTCTTTTCAGTTCTTGGCTTGACATATGATCATCCAATGGATATGTGGTCTGTCGGTTGCTGCTTGTATGAGCTATATACTGGAAAAGTTCTTTTTCCAGGCCCTACTAATAATGACATGCTGCGACTTCACATGGAACTGAAAGGTCCTTTTCCAAAGAAGATGCTTAGAAAGGTGAGACGTTTTCCTTTAATAATTGTCTATAGCAGTTGTTGCAATGGCGAACTTCCTTTAACTTTGGAGTTAATTTTCTCGTTTGTGTTTTGATGCACGGTTCAGGCCGATGCTTTCTTCCATTTCTCATACCACCTATCCTCCTGTTTCTCTTTCTCTCTCCTCTCTTTGTGCTTGTTCTTCTTGTTGTGAGGCTTTAAGTTGTTTGGCATGACTGTTCTGGAACTATTTTTGGAGTTTTCTTTTACTAATATTATGCCGTTCCAACTTTCTTGTTGCAGGGTGCATTTATTGACCAGCATTTTGACCATGATTTGAATTTTCATGCTATAGAGGAGGATCCTCTTACTAAAAAGGTGTGCTGTACACATCTATCTTTCCATCATCCATTAATCTACCTTTTCAACATTTGCATCTTTTTCTTGGTTTTCTTTCATACTGACAGATTTGACTTTTGTTTACCCAGACTATAAAGAGGATGATTCTAAATATAAAGCCAAAAGATATTGGATCAATCATTTCTAGCTCTCCTGGGGAGGATGCAAAGATGTTAGCCAATTTTAGAGATCTTTTAGACAAAATATTTGTGTTAGATCCTGAAAAGAGGTTGACAGTACAACAAGCACAACTGCATCCATTCATCACGGGCAAGTGAACCATGTTGCTGATTTTCTGACACCAGAAACGCGTTGCGCTAGATATTAGTATACTGACTTCATTTTCAGTTATCTAATCATTGGGCATTATCTGTCTTTATTTTCTATGTGCTGGCCTATGAGCTTTGGACAGTTATAGCCATCATTGAAGATATTTGGTCAGAAGTTCTCTTTACTGGCGGTTCTTTCAGGGGAATGTACTGTTTCTACTGTAAGACAACTTGCGTGTTTTCCCCTCTTGTAACCATTCTTGATTATGGGCATTGTGAAAATTTGACAAAATTTTTCACATATGTTTTTATTTACTGAGCCACTATTATATTTGTACCTTGTACATGGTTGCTGCTGTTGAATTGTGGGAAATCAATAAGGAAAGAAATATTTGGGATTCCTATGATTTAGAAATATAAATTTGTTTTTTTTTTTAACCATTTGCTGAAGTTGGCAATGTGGATCTTGTTTCCTTGTTATTTTGATGTTTTGTTTTATAGCTTTTGCATGATTTTGAATTTTGAATACCATTATCTTAGACTTGCAACATCGTTCAACCTCTTTATGTTTTGTAATTATTTTATTATGATTTTGTCGGAATTTTGCTCCGTCTTTAGGAATCTAATTCAATTTTTCATTCAGGATTTGGCTCCTTGCTTTGAGGCAACCCTCCAGTGCTTAAATGCTTATAAGGCACCCAGGAGAAGGTACCTTGAATTGTTTACTGGGACGTTTTCAAACACCCAGAGTACATATTGTGATCTTTTGATAACTTTTTTGGACTTACATAGAATTTTATGATTTTAATTCATATGCACTGTTTTGTATGTGTTTGAAAATGTTTTATTATATTGCTCATTTGTGTTTTATTTGTTTCCTCCGAAATAATTCCTTTATTTTGTTACTATGGGACCTGTGAGTTATTTGCTTTGCTTGTGCATTGGTTTCAAATGGAATCTCCTTGTACATGCACTGTGAACTATACATTTGAAAGTGGTATTACTATTACCATGGTTCACCTTTTCCCTAGTCTTGATGTGTGAGAATAGAATGTGACAAGGTGTCTTTAGCAGTCGGCCAGCTATATGCCTGTGTGGCTGAGCTAACTAGACAGTATCTATGTCTTTGTTTTGTGCGCTGTGATTTATATTTTGTATTATCTTTGCATGTATCTATGTTCTAATATTTTCTATGCATCTGATCCATGGACTACTATGCTGGAGGCGAATGCTCCTGAGATGCTGCTTCGACTTTAAAGTTAACATACATACTAGTAAGTAATTAAATTTTTAATTTGATTGCTGTTGCTCTTCTTGAATGGCTGGAGAAGTGGCCAACACGGTGTTGAAAATGCTAATGTATTGACATCTCGTCTTTATAGGGTATTGCTTTCATCCCCTTGCCGACTTGTAAGTATCTGAAAATTTATTGTTGGTCATGTGAATTATTTTCCTTATGATGAAATCGATGGTTTTGATGTTAATTTTCCCACCTCTTATGTCATAGCATCATAAATAAATGCTGCTTGAGATTCGTAGATTATGTTTCATACATGTGCATAATTTTAATATTAGCCATGTTAAGATATTAAAACAAGTAATGCAGCTAAATACTCAGTTCTATGAAGCATAACCTTGGTGTATAAGGTGTTATGCTTTAGTTTAAAGAGATTTGCTCAAAGAACTGGAAAAATAAAAGGGAAATATAACAAGCATCATTTATTTAAGATAGCGTTTTATTTGTGTGCTTGGTGAATGTTTGTGATCAATTTTACAATTTCTGAAATGCTTGCAATCATTGTTCAACTGCTTAATACTTTCCATGTGGCTAGACAACCAAATTTTGTGGTGTTATCACAATCTTGTCAAGATTTTCTGATCCCCTGGCAAACAAAGTGTGGCTACTGTTATGAGTTTGAAATCCCAAAATGAACCCTTAGGGCTTTATTCCTTAGCTAGAAGCTAGATAAAGAGAGTGCATGAGCATGAAGGTACCTTTTGCTTTTGTTCGATCTGCATATAGTTTGCTTGAAGCAAGATTTCATATATTTTCTTAATGATATAAATATCATACAGGATTTCTAACCAAACTATATATAACATAATCTCTGTAACTTCACAATTTCTTTATGCAATCTCTCAATGTAAATGCTGATGTAGCACGATGTTCTCCTCAGTCTTATTTCAATTTAGTTTTGGTGAGTGATAGATTTCTTCAATGAATAAGCCATTTAAAACACCCCCAACTTTGTATTCTGTTATAATTATACCCCAAATCAAACTTAACCCCTAGGACAACAATTTCTAAGTTTTGTTATAACTGCACTCCAATTTCAAATTAGGGCTACATAAATTCATAGAATAAAAAACATAAAATGTGACCCACTATTAGAATTAACCGATAAAAGTTAAGTGAAACGGTGCATTTCACTGTGCACCAGCTTCCACTTAACCCATATCTAACTCCTCTCTCCTAGTTTGAAAATTGCGTGCTTCTTCTTCTTTGTTCTTCTGTTTTTTTTCTTCTTCCATTTTTTCATGCTGAAGCCAGAAAAGAAAAATGAAGAAAAGTTGAAGAAGATTGTGGATTGATATCTCCATCATCTCCCTCCTATCTGTAGATCTTGTACAATAGAGCTTCAATTTCCCATGTCCCTCTCCTCCATGCCGTCCTCAATAAAATCTGTTTGACTTTTAATTCTCTAAATTACTAGCTTAAACAGAATGAGGAGTCATTAGCGTTGGGCGTCTCTGTTTTGCATCAATTATGGCTATCTTGTAATTGTGCCTTTCTCAAATCCTGACTAAGGTATTTGTTCTCTTTTTTTGTGCTTTTCTCATTCTTTTTTGTTTTTAATAATTCTTTATTAAATAGTGTGGTTATGTGGCAAAATAGTGTAATTATTGAATTGCTAGTTCTTACTTGGATTTCTTTTGTTTTTCGTTATTCAATATCTTCATCAATCATTTTCTTCTCCAATATATAAAAGAAATTGGATTCATTTTTGGAAAGAATTTCTGTTGTATTTTTCAAATGGAATTTTATTTTTCTGGAAATAAGAATTCATTTGAATTATGCTAACCCAATATAGTTGTATTGTGGTTGTTTTTAGGATTGATAATTGGGGCTTAACATCATTAGAGATACCTGTCTTTTATATTTGTAAATTGGTAAGACTGATGAGAGAAGAGGCACGAAGGAGAGAGAAAATGGGGTTGAGGGATTTTGGTTACTGTTGATGGAAGGGCAGTGGTAGGAGATGACTGATGAGGATAGGTGGGTTAAGTGAAACGCTCCTTTGGGATAATTTTAACTGCAGTTACAGATTTGGGTCCCACTTTATTATTATTTTTTTATTCAATTGAGTTGTCTTAATTTGAAATTAGGGTGTTCCAGGGGTTAATTTTGTTTTGGGGTATAATTTATAATAAAATGCAAAGTTTGGGGTATTTAAATGGTTTACTCTTTCTTCAATATATTTTATCTACTGAGTGAACATAATCTAAATGGGAATTCTTGAGGATTACTATTGTTTGTTGTCTCATCAGTTGCATCTCTGGAGAGCAATTGCTGGTTAAAATCTGTTAGCAAATGTTGTCATGCTAAGTATTGGCTGACAAGGAATTTACTTTCTAGTCTGGGACATGACAGTGCATTGACCCTTGCCTTCCCGAAAACTATAAGCTGGTCTGTGCACTATACAGGGTACCTTCTGAAATTTGAGGTTTCAGTTATTTTCTGTAAGAAAAAAGGAAAACCCCTTTTAGATATTGCAAAAACAGTTTTGAAGACCTTGGAAAAGTTTTAGTTATGTTCAGTAATTAGTCAAGATGGTGTTTTTTCCTAATGGTAGATACAACAGCAATGCTCAATGAACCCTTAAGTTTGTGTTTAGTGAAAACTTCATTGTCTTTTGAAGCGATTTAAAAATGAATGTTTTTTATGTTTGATATTTTTACTTTTTTGTGTAAGAAATATGTGAAGAATGGCAAAAACCAGCTTGGGAACTCCGGTCCTGGTATTGATAACAGCTGGCCTGACCATAGTTCCCCCTACTCAGACTGAAACCTTAAATATGATTGGAATTTTCTTCTCTTCTCTAAGTGGTTTTGATGTTAGCCTCTACTAAAAAGTTATGCTTCCTACTTTCCTGTCACCATATCATTAGCTTTAAATCATAAAAAGACAAGACAATGTGGGCAATTGGGTAGATTTTCTGACTATAGATTGTAAGTATAGTTTACCAAATTGAGCTAATAATGTCTTAGGACATGCATGATTATGTACATTTTTATTTCTTAGGTGGTCTTGCACAGATAGAATGCAGCCGTCGTATTGATTCCTTAGCCAAGCAAGGAGTTATCAGGTCATGGACTTCTTTGATTGCTTTCTCTTTGCTTTCTTTTTGAGCATCATAGGTTTCAAAATTTATGCAATTATTTGAGGTGGTTGTTTTAGGTTTTGCATCTTGATTAGGGAATTGTTTTACTAGTGTGGATAGTCTACATACTCTTTTGTATTCTTATGATCTGTTATTTTTATGTGGAGGCATTATTAAGAGTCCTTGTCCATCTTAGGTTTTGTTTCTTACACATACTTCTAAAATTTAAAAAGAAAATAGAACTGTTTGTGCTTTGTCTTTTTCTGTCTCATCGACTTGTAGCTCTTGCTAAAAAACTTAAGATTATATTGGAACAATTCATAACTTGATCTGATATCTGTAATTGTTTCCATTTTCGTGGAGAGAAATAGAACAAGATAACTGGGGGAAAACAGTGGATTCTTTTGTGGCGAGAGATAAAAAAAAGTGAAAAAAAAAAAAAATCTAAAACCGTGGTGGAATTTTGAATTGGAAACTTGAATTTATTTGAAAATGATTAAGTTGGATATTTTAGTCCATTTCCTTTTTTGGTTGTGGCCTCTAACTAATTTTGCGGAAGTAAGGGTTGCCTTTTTTATTATAGATTGTGTCTAAATAGGAAAGAGCTTTGCGGTGTTAAATTTCGAACTTTGGGATGATGGTTGAAATCCTGCCTTTCTTGTCTTAATTAAAATTATTCAATTTGTGCATAAGACAAACAAACATTAGGAAATTTGAACTACAAGTGTGTTGCTTGATACCTGATGGCACCTGTAGAAAAAGTAAACTTAATTTTATGTTCATATTTCCCTTTGAAGTACTGGTGTACTTGAATATTGCATGGCCCTTGAATCTTTTAGTGCGCTGAATCACATGTATGTCAACCATATCTGAAATGAAGATTGGCCTTTGAAGTCCAAAGAAGGGGTCTCCAAGGTGAAATTGCTATTTGCTTTCATTCTTTTTATGGGGTCACAACACAGCAGTGTAGGGCGACCCTATAGTGAACATCCTTCAGAGGAAAAATGATATTCAGAAATGGAGTTACTCATTCTTTTCTCGTCTTTTTTTTTTTTTTTTTTTTTTCTCGTCTTTTTTTTTTTTTTTGTTTTTTTTTTTTTTTTTTGTTGTTGTCTTAGTGAAACTAGTATTATTTTTGTTTTCTCATTTTTTCAAGTTTTCTAAATGTTCATTGCATTTCAGTATCATTATTTTTTCATTTTTTTTATCCTTTTTTAGTACATTTCCTTTTGGGTTTTATGGACAGTCCCTGACCACAATTTTGGAGAATTCGTTGCTTGTATCTTCAAAACAACAAACCTTGATTTGTTGTTTTGAAGTGAATCTCTGTGATTGTTACTGCAGGTGCATTTTCTTTAAGTGAAATAGAATCTTTGGTTTCTGCTGGAACAAGATTTGTGTTCTTCTATAGCCTAATATTTTTCTGCAGCCATGGCTGCAACATATCCTATAATAGCTTGAAGCTATGATATCACTGTTGCTTTATAAGTTTTATGCATTACGCTTACCTGGTGATGATGTGATTTCTTGAATAGCATTTACATAATTTGCTTTGTTTGACTTTTGAATCCTTCAAATATGTGATTATATATTCGAGGGGCTTCATAGCTCTGTATTGCAGTGGGACTTCTGTAGCTTTTCCAAAACAAGATATAATGTAGTCAACATTTGGTGGGTATGCATATGAGATTAAAAGAGTTGGGTTTGGGTACGATATTTTTGTGGGTGCAACATTTCTGTTAGCTGTTCAAAGACTTGAGCAATCCTGGGAGAAGTGAATTGAGCAATGTCAGCGTCTTCTACCTTGATATCTGTCCTCCCTATTGGTTATAATGAAGTACAACAGATTTTGCCGTTTTCAGTTTGTGCTTCAGCCAACTTCATATTCAATGTAATGTTTGTTAGTAAAAAATGTTATTGATCGTTCGGGATGAAACGGTGGTTTTGGAGTGATGATGCCACATTTTCATTTTGTATCAAGTATTGCCATTTAGGATTCCTGCTGGCCTTTTACTCCCTTGTTTCTGGCGTTTGCTCACGTAAGATTATACGAGAATATCTATAATCTAATCTATAATCAATAAAATATATGAAAATGGGAATGTGGTGAATATAAAATAATCATTGATAAAATTATTTTTAAAGATTTTAATTTTGTTGGTTAAAAAAATAATATTTATTTGATTGGTTATATTATTATTTTTATTTAAATTTAAATTCTATTGATTAAAAAAATAAAATGAATTAAAATAAGCTATCTTTAATAGTCTAAAAGAGTGAAATTTTATACAACATATTCATTCAAATTTTTAATTTATGTTTTATTAAACAGGTTTTATCCTATTTAAATAAGAATTATATATTGTGTATTATTATGGAAGTTGTATTTAAGTTTGTGGATTCTTTACTTTCATTATCGAGAGTTCTGCTATATGTTAAACATTCATCAATCAACTTATCATAATCAGATAGATGTATTAATTTTATTTTTTTTATTTTTTGTGATTATAAGTCGGTGTCACTGTTATCCTATATGTTTTTAATTTTATTTTTACAAATTGTAAATTTAAAATTTTTTGTATTTATGTATAAAATATTGTAACTTTACGTTTAATCATTAATGTATTCGATTATTAACTTGTTTATTTACATAAGTTGGTTTACTATAATTACTATTGTTTATTACATAACAGGAAACATTATTTTTTGTAAGAAAATTATTATTATTATTTTTATTGTTGGGGAAATATATTCTTATTTGATAAATTTGTAAGTATCTTGATTTTTTGTTTTTTAATTTTTGATTCTACGCATGTTGATATTGTAAAATTTAATTAATGATGGAATTTTTTTATTTTAAAAAAATTTAAAATTTTTATTTAATTATCTAATTTGAAGAAATCAAATTATAAATCTATTCATTTTGTTTATTCAATAATTAATTATCATATAATAAAAATTATTTGTTTTCTTTCTTTTGTAATAATTAATAATCCAAATATAAGTTTTTTTGTATGAATAAAAACACTAATTAGTTTTTTCAATAATTAATAACGACATTATAAACTAATGTAATATTTTGTTAATTTTATAATTTAATTATTCTTTACTTTTTTTAAAAAAAAATCTTAATTCTCTTTTGAGTACTATGTATATGAGTACTACATCTCCTAAATTTATCATACAAATACTTATTTATTTATTTTTTAATATTCAACACATTTTTAGATAATGATAAAAATTAATACTTTGAGCAAAAAACACGAATGATTAAGGTTTCTGACATTTTTTTCTTTTTCCATTCAAATAATTTTATGGTTTGAGTAATTATTTTAATTTGTAAAAATAATATTAATGTTTTTTTTTTTTTTTTTTTTTTTTATAAGATTCTTCTATCATTTTTAAATTTATAAAAAAGTTGGATCAGTAATTTTTGTTATCATAGTCAAAGAATAATAAAAGGGTGAAAGACGAATATTATCTTTTTCATCATATTAATTTACTTAAATTTTTAATCAAATTTAGTTCATAAATTTCGTATGAGTTATTTATAAGTATTGACCCGCACATTGTGTGGCATACGACTAGTCTTATTTAGATTTAAAGCAAGTCAGATAGGGTATAGACACTTGATTGTAAAAATTTAAGTAGTTTAAACACTTAATTACAAATATTTTGTATTTAGACACTAAGATAAAAAAAACTTTTGAAAAGTTCCAACAATATATTTATAGTTATTACTTGTTATTGTCATTTGCACATTATTTTGAGCTTATCATGCCATATTTAGTACAATAAAGAATGGATTAAGAAATGAAATGGAGAACATAATAGAATGGAACGAGAAATAGAATATTTATTCATGTGTTTAGTATATCATATGAAATGAAAAGGAATGAAATGAAAAATTAGTAAAAGACTAATAATAGCTTTTGTTTTATTAAAAGAAAGAGAAAAAAATATAATAAAGATAAAAGATAAAGCCACCTATATAGTATTTTAAAATATATTCATATGGAATTGAAATAGAATCTCAATCCCTTAACTTATTTTTTCCGAGGTTTAATTACTAAACAAATAGAAATACCGTTTCCATTCCTATTTCTTGCACTAAACATGAGTGTCTCAAGGGGCATTTACTATCTATCTGCGTTTTCCATTTCCTCCTGGTGGTGATTCACGGATCGCTGGCGTAGTTGGTTTCCCACTTACAATTACAAATATCGTAATTACTTTTGTTATAAAAAATTAAATTAACCAAATTAAATATTACTAAATTATTACCAATTCAATCTATAGATTTAAATATTACTAAATTAAATTCTTTGAAAAAAGTTGAAATTTCTTATAATTTTGCTAAATTAAAATTTTATGCAAATTTCTTTTCACTTTATGTTGTTTTTGAAACGGATTTAGAGTCAGAATAGAAATAGATTGAAAATAAAATATGTTCCTGTACCTTTTAAAATTAGAATTAAAAATCTCTATAATAATCGAATCGGACGTACTTCAAAATTCAATGGAGTTTCAAATATCGGTGATTATAAACAAAAAATTTAGAATAAAAACAAAAAATCTGTTGCTAATCCATGCATGCCGACTGATTTCAACTGAATAACCGCATGGAAACAACTTTTGTGGGTGTGGATAGATTCCATATAAGCTCTTCGCCATTCCTTATAGTTGTGTTTAGTGAAAATCGAATTTGAGAGCTCTTCCCAAATACTTAATCTGCATTGTCAACTGAATAATAAATCGCAGTTTATTTCTTCTCATGATTAAAAATGAACAAAATGAGAATGATAATTAGGTTAATATAAAAGTCCAAACTTGGGAATGTAAAATCAAATTGATTGTCAATGCAACATTATTTTGGTGGGCCTTCTCTTTTTTCTAGTTTCCTCTTAATTTTAACTTGTAAGAGTAGGATACTTCAGAAATTTCCTTGACATTTCTCAACGACTTTTTTATGACTTTGTTTCCCATGCTAAATAAAATTATTAATTAATTAATTATCATTTATATTTGATTTTTTGTTATGAAACACTTGATTTGCTACGGCACTGCCATCGGATGGATTGGCGAATGCATTTTGTAGCCTCTAGTCGTTATATTCTTCAACTGAATTCTAACATTATCTTAGCAAAATTAAATATTTATTTATTTATTTTGATTTATAAATAAACCATTTATAGTAAACATTTAAATATCTAAATTTTTTTAAAAAAATTTATTCGATGTATGAAAATAAACTTTTTACAATAAAAGTGTTTCAACACTATAAAATTTATATAAATTTGTGATTAGGATATTGATTCACATGTCCACAGAAATCAATGAGAAAGAGCTAATTGCCCTTAGCTAAACCTGAAATTGCTGGCTTGAATTAAATACATGTGAAAAATACATTTTTGCATCTCTTTCACAATTTTTTTTTTTTTTTTTTTTTAGAAGAGAAGGAATTGTTAAAAAAGGGGAAAACTATATTTTTCTTAAGCTTTTGTGTCTTATCACATATATTTAATGCAAATCAATAATTGCAGATTTAGTTGGTGGTAACTCTTTTTCTTTGGTTACGTAGACCAATGCCATCTTAATCATAATTCCAACCGATCACATAGAAAGAATGAAAGCAAATAATTATAAAAATTTTCAGTTTAGAATAAAAAATTTCAAAAAATTCAGACACCAAATTATAATTATCCCAAAAATTGTTATTTAAAGAATTAAAAAAAAGAACTTTCCTTCTAAAAAATTTCCCTCATTTTCTCAATTCATTCCTTTCCTGTTCCTCCAAAAAAAAAAAAAAAATTCAAAAATATAATTTATTATTTATTTCTGATTCAATCTACCAGCCATTTCCTAAAAAAAAAAAAATAAATAAATAAATCTATGAAGCCATAATTAGAAATCTTGAATGTTAAAAAGGAAAGGTGGACCAACCAACGGACGTGACTGTGAAGACTATCCTGACGTGTTTATACTACGAAGTGCTCTACGCGGCTCTCAAAACTGATGGGCCCATTCAAAGCTCCAGCATGGAAATTCACATCCTTCGAAAAGTCGAAAAAACTATTAAGTAGGAGAAAGAAATAAAAAAACCGCGTTTTGATAATGGAAAATAAAATACTTGAACTTTTCCTCTCCACAGACAGCTCTTTTTCATCTTTCAAAGTTCAAACCATATCATAATATTACAAAGTCTTACCTACTAAGAAAAACCAAACGCAATCTCTCTCTCTCGTCATCACATAAAGGAGCAAACGAACATTTGCTTCTTTGTTCTCTTCTTCTCATTCTCAGATATCTCTCTTTCTGTCAATTGTTTTTCATTTTAGAGTTTATCTAATTAATAAACAAAAATCAGTAGAGAGAGAGCGAGAGGGAGGATGGGAAAGAAACTTGATGCTTTTCTAGGAAGAAGAAACTTCAAGAATTCAAAATTCAAAGCACTTACAAATCTTGCTAATTCTCGCCTTTCAGTTTTCAAGAACCAACGCCAAGTCAGGTGTAATCAAGCTCGCTCTGATGTTCTTCAGCTTCTTCAGCAAGGCAACCATGAACGTGCTCTTCTTCGTGTAAGTTTCTTCTTCTTTTTTTTTTTTTTTTTTTTTTTTTTTTTTTTACAGGTCTGCTTCATTTTTTTCCAATTTTTGATATGTTATGAACAGTTTAATCTTTTGTTTTTCCTCTTCAAATAAAAAGAAATTTGGATTTCTTTTGGCTGCAGAGTTTGTCCTGATGAACTGAAAGAGGCAGTATCAAGTTTGCTGTATGCATCTACAAGATGCGGAGACTTCCCTGAGCTTCAAGAAATCCGCGCAGTGCTTGCTTCTTGGTACGGGAAGGAATTTGCTGCTCGTGCTATTGACTTGCGCAATAATTGTGGAGTCAATACCAAGGTTTGTGATTCCTTTCATTGGGACAAACCTATATATTTGCGTCGATATGATTAGAATTTTTATACTTGTAAGATAATTGTTTTTGTACTCCTATAGATGATCCAGAAGCTATCAACTAGACACTCAGAATTGGATAACAGAATGAAGGTGCTCAAGGAAATTGCGTTGGAGAACAACATTGTTCTGCAACTCGAGGAAGCATCTATTATAACTGAGGTATAAAATTTTCTTATTTATTTTTACTTTTGTTAGTTTGGTTTCGGCTAAGATTTGAACTCATAATTTCACATCTTTGGGGATGACTCCAATAACTCTGAGCCACAGCATATTGGTTTAAGAATGAATGTTTAATCATGAACATTATATGCAACTTTTTATTATAGTATGCACTAAATATGAGATAAACGCAGGAAAAAGTGGATGTAAGCAAGAAGAACCATCCTGAGCCAGAGAAATCGAACATTTCAGGTGGCTCTAAGGTGGTTGACAATTTGCAAATTTTGCCCGAAGAGATAGAAAAAGATGGTTTCACTGATTCTGCAAAGGCAAGGAAAAAGTATAAGGATGTAGCTGATGCAGCTCAAGCAGCATTTGAGTCTGCTGCCTACGCAGCAGCAGCTGCTAGAGCAGCTGTCGAACTATCTCGATCTGAACCCCATGATCCTGACAACCAAAACGGTCCTGATAATCAAGGAAGAAAAGTATCAAATAAAGACGAGCGCATAAATCTTGACTCTAAACCCAGAGATCAGGAAATCCAAAATGAAAATGAGAGTACAGATTCAGAGGGCAACAGTGCAGCGGAACAGAAAACGCCAGTGTCTTCTGCTCCTTCAGATTCAGATCCAGTAGAAGATGATATGAGGGTTTATTCAATGAACCTGGACCCAGAGTACCTAGCGAAGAAACTGGAGAAGGATATAGTTTTTGACGAGAGTGACGATGAAAGTTATGGTTCGGATTCTAAAATAAGGTGTAGCAGAATTGAAGGAGAGATTCAGGCAGTTGAGAAGAAAATCCCTCCAATAATTCAAGCCGGTCTAAATAGGGAGAAGGGTCCATTTTCTGTGAGGACCAGAGGAGTGCCTGGTTACTAAAAAATTGAGTATAATAAATTCTGTTTGTGAGTTTTGCTGATAGAATATCCTTTATTATTATTATTTTTTTTTTTTTGTGGGGGTTATTTTTTTCCAATGTAAACTTGAATTGTTTTCTACTTTCAATGTTAAAATTTTGTGCAGTTAAAAAGAACAATGCAGATATCAAACAGTTTTTTAAGTTTACACATTTTTTTGAAGAGAAATCTCAAATAATATATGGAAGTGTGTTTAAGTTTCAATATCCTTCCTGTGGTAAAATCTAGGATTAGCTTATTAAGAAATGCAACGCCCAGAATGAAACAAAGACAAGCATAAATATAATTTATCTGAACACACTAATAAGAAAATAGACACAGTTTCAATCAAAGGTTGCCACATCAATCATTACTTCAAGCTTGCAAAGGACAGCTCGCTGCGGACCATTAGTTAAACTGTAGTTCATGGGAAAGCTATACAAACGTGATTTGGACATCCTTTCTTTTTACAAGCCATTTAAACTAATAATTATTGCATAGTATTTGTAGAACAAAGGTTTGTTTGACAAGTAAAATTTATGGAAAGAACTAAAATTGCAGAAAGTAAACTGCTGAGATAAAAAAAAAAAGTTTTTCTTACTAGGATGCAGAATATACAAAATTTGTAATGAATTCATGTCTAGAAAATACCAGAATTATATGCCTAAATATTTGACTAAGGGATCCATGTCGCCTTATACAAAGTCAATGCCCTCTGGCCCGCTTCTTTCCATGTTGCAGCAGATCACTGAATGACTGCAAGCTCACATCAACATCTTCATCATATTCAATTCCAAGTTCCTCCTGTATAAACACAAACAGCTATTGAAAACAACTCGTACAAGGTGAAATGCAAATGATTACAAGATATGAACCATAAATGGATAACCTTAAATTCCTTTAGATCCTTCGGTGAGTTTTCAGTAATAGCATCCCACAAATCCTTGAACATCCTTTTACGCCTTCTCCACTGACTTATTTGCTCTGAGTACATTTTCTCAACTGCCTTTCCCTCTTCTGGTCTCACCAAGGTAACTTCCCCACGCAGTTTAACCAATTTGTCCTCCATTTCCTTTACCTGATAGTAGAATTAGAAGGTCATCAATGCCTAAGTTTCATCCATTCTTCTTCACACAATGTCATATAGTTTTGATGCATCATATATGTATCAAAAGATGACCAAAAAATTATTTGGATACATGTCACGAAAATAATTTTGGAACATATGATTCTGAAAGAAAAAATCTTTGAAACATGGTGGTCAAAGGTGCAAGGAATTTGAGGTACTTGGGGCTCAGGGGCAGGCAGACATCCAGGGAATGTGAGATGCATAATATATAGATTGTTTAAACTCGTAACAAGTAATAACTGAATGCAAAAAATTCAAAAATTCATAAAATAATAAACAGAAGACAAGACACTAAAGTCTAAAACTAGTTCAACAAGGGTCACATGCACACTGAAGTACAAGGAGATAAGAAAATACCAAACCAAACTCAAACTATATTAGCTTGAAACAGATGTATATATGCAAGAGTGCAAATCCTAGCAACCACTACTACGCATGGTTCAAAACGCATTCCTGTTCTTCGATTTCATCTGTTCCTTTTAAATTTTCCTCACATCTATAATTCCTAACAAATAGTCGCTACCCTATAGGCACTTGTTTTTTATGCTAGCCTGCTACTCAATACAATGACTCAAGTTTATTGGAAACTTCACCTTAGAATTAGAAAGCAAAATCTATGGTGATATTCACCTTGCACATTATATCTCATCCATTTATTTTAGTAAGGTAAACAGTACCATCAATAGCTTAAATCAAACCACAAAAGCGTAAAATCAAGAAATCTGAAATGAAGTAAACCAACTAATCAAGAGTAAAAATCCCTCGGATCAGGTACATGCAAAGGTTCCCTGTAAAAGTTTGTGGTATGGAGGCCAGGTATATGTCTTATGAGTGAAGCATGCTTGAGACCACTAGAGGTGCTTGACCTCAAGCCTGGGTGAGCCTGCAGCCTAGGCATGTCCGAGGTGCACCTTTGACAACCATGCTTTGAAAGTGTAATTAAGAAATGCTCGAAAAAAATCAATATTATTTACCTCCTTTCTTAATTTGGCTTCTTTGTCATGTATTTGTTCCAAGGTCAAATTTGATTGCAAAGCCCTAATTTCTGTAACAATGCACATCAATCCTCATATTAGATGACTAGCCAATTAATTCTCTACAGCTCTCCTAATATCCATGAAACTGAAACCCACAAATAACAAGTTGAAATAGCTAAAATGTGCATGTGTAGATTGTATACCAAACAACTCATTAGGGAATAGAGTTTATATCAACAACAATTTTTTCTTCTAAATGGAATTTAATAAGATTCCTCATCGCGATGTTCTGTTTCAACTGATAGGAAGCATAAACATGCTACTCTGATGAAAAAATATCAATATGTAAGAGGAGATACCTCCCTCAACCTCGCTAATTGCTTTCTTCTGATCTTCCAGCTGTTGCTGAAGTTTGGCATTTTCTTCTTTCATGCGATTAAGCTCTTCACTGTTTGGGATGTCGAACTGATCTTGTCGAGCAAGGTATATCTTTTGCTTGCCATACTCCTTAAATGAAATCTTCCCACTATCTGCGAGATTGTCTAATGCTTTCTGTACCGCTGCCTTTTTGAGATTGAACTTTTGCAACGAGTCAGCCACATTTTGAGAATTTAGTGGCCTGTTTTGCTGTACAAAGAGATATGAGAGCAAGATTGGAGGTAGCAAATAACTAGAACCTTAAAACGAAGATTCCAAATCAAAATCGCTAACCACGATGAGCGGCCAGGCTTACCTCGTTCACGAAGTTGAGCACTATCGCTGCAGAAATTACAACAAAGAGAAGATAACATGGACGAATTTAATGAATTAATTTTGAAAAACAGATTAAGAACGATTTAAATCGAAATTAACATGAAAATTAGCGCACTGGAGACTCGTAAAACATGTAATTAATCAAATAGCTTTAAAAGATGAGAAAGACAGACAAAATTGAGCGGTTGTTTTGATTTACCTTCGGCGCTATCAGATTTCGGAGCCATTCGCCGGTCGTAAAACGAGAGAAAATGCGCGCGAAAATTCTCTGATTATTCCCGCACGAAAAAGTGATGTTTTTCAATCAATGAGAACTAAACTTGCTTTATACGGAGCCGGTGCTTAAAAACGGTGACGTATCTTCCGTGTTAAATTCCTATTGATACGATGTCGCTTCTTTGGAGTTATATTCGTGTTCAAAGCTTAGCCAATGGACCATTGGCAGGTGAGAACTGAGAAGTAATGGCAGCAACTCAAGTTCTGACCTGCAACAATGGCTTCTGTTCCTATTCCTTGGTTGCAGCTACCATACCCTATAAATCGAAACCATCAATCTTTCACCATTATCAACTGCACAAAAATAAAGAAGCTTCGGCTTTCTCCTGCAACGCATGGCCTAGAAATCAGAAAAATCGCTTGAAATTGGAGACCCTCTTTGTCTGCCAGGCGGCTCGACGTAAACCCAGCATTTTAAACGCCGCCGTATCATCTGATAAGGGAGATGGTGATAATGCACGGAAAGTGCTTCAAATAATATTATGGGCTCTTGAAGGTGTTTACATTTTGTGGCTCTTTCTACTTCCTTACGCCCCTGTAAGTATCTGTTTCGATATAGTTAACAACATTCTATTCTTGATAAATCTTTCTTTGGATTGGGAATTTGAAACTCAACAATTTAAAGTTGAAGTTTTTGCGCAATTTACATAAATAAAGATTTGAACTTGCAGAGCGCGTGTATGAATATATTTCTCCACTAACCATCATGTGTGAATTTCTAACTAAGGAAAACCTAAGCATTATGGACCTTTTTTGATTCCAAATATCCACCTATCCAAACAGGTTCTAAAAGTTTCTCTATTTGTTGTTGCTTGTTATGCTCTGGTTTTAGTCCTCTACTGTTATAAATTGATATGAGAATAGGATTTCATTTGTATCTGTTAACAGGGAGATCCAGTGTGTCTTTTTTTTTTTTTTTTTCTCTGTAGTGAACTTAGAATAGGTTTGCTTTTGCAACCAACTCTATAGAATAGAACTGAGTTTTTCATTCCATGAAATAGTAGATCCGATCTCAACATTGAACTTTTTGGCAGAGTAGTTGGCATAAGTCTCATTGATGCTCCGGTGCTTCACCCGGTAATTACACTATTATATGAAGTAAATCTGATTCATTCTCAGTTTTTCCATTATCATTTTTTATGTAAATGTCCTTTCTTATGTTGGCAATCTTCCTTGCTTCAGATGTCTGAAGGATTATTCAACTTTGTTATCGGATGGACCTTCATGTTTGCTCCATTGCTGTTCTCTGATTGTAGGAGAGATAGATACAAAGGATCATTAGACATTTTATGGGGCCTGCAGATGTTTCTCACAAACAGTATGTTTCATTTATAGAATCCTTCCTGCGCTTCATTAGTAGATTATTTTGACCATGTTGGTGATGAAAATATTTTTTTGCTGTGTGGATAGTAAGTATAATTTTGATAATAAGTATCATGTTGGTAATGAAAATATTTCTTTTGTTAATTTATAGTCATAAATTCCACCCGTACTCCCCTCTCAATAGGCATCTGAAAACACCTAAAATCTAAATACCTAAACAGCAAACCTAGAATGGCAAATTTTAGTATTTGTAGGATTCCATTAGGAATTTAACGCTAACCAAATTGTGGTTATTGTTCATTTGATGCCAGCATTTTTAATACCATACATGGCTATCCGGCTAAATGAAGCTGATTCTGAGTCCACTCCACAAAAGCTCTCTCAACTAGGTACAGTAATGACAAATGGTGCACCAATAGTGGGGCTGATTGGTGGGTTTGCTTGTCTGATTTCTGCATTATGGGCCCTTTATGGAAGAATGGATGGTAATTTTGGGAGCATAACAGACAGATGGGAATTCTTGGTTAGTTATCTAGGATCAGAGAGGTTGGCTTATGCCTTCATTTGGGATATATGTCTTTACATAATCTTTCAGCCTTGGCTTATCGGTGACAATTTGCAGAACGTTCAGAAAAGCAGGATTGACATAGTGAAATATCTTAGATTTGTTCCAGTAGTTGGTTTGGTGGCCTATCTCCTCTGTTTGAATCTTGATGAGGAACTATAGCTATATGCAGTTCTTTAGAAAGTTCAAATACAAGTCAGTATTACAGCCTTATAACCAGTTTAACTGTTAAATATCATAACGTGCATACAAATGAATATGCACATTCTGTATCTCTGTATTTACTAGAAAGTGTAACTGAATTTTGCATCTATATTTCTTTTACTTGCAAAAGAAAATATACTGCTTCAATTGTCTCTATTAGTGATGAATTCCTTCAGTGAATATTGAGGAGATGTGGATGGTTGACTAGCGTCTGTCTCTCTTTTTTTCTTTTTTTTTTCTCTGCTATTGAAAGATGCTGTGTCCACATTAAGATCAGGGCGTGAACCCAGATCAGGGAATGAATTACTATAACTCATTGTGCGGTATATAAATGGATTTGAAGCATAAAATTCAATTATAAATGGAGTTTATTTTTGTTATGTTGAAATTATACAAAATTAATCTTGTAAGAGTTGGAGGGCACTACGAGAAAAATAGACTCTTTCTCAAATCGCCCCGCGAAGACGCATGGTATCTTTTAAGATGAAGGACGCCCGTCCCACGAGACGGAGGATTTAGGAGACCTCTTCCCATGCTACTCCTTTGACGAAATCTAACATTAGCATTTTTGTTCAGACCAAAAATGAATCTCATCAAATTTTGAGGAATAATTTATACCAATTGCAAGCTCCAAATCTGAAACTAATATATTACCAATTGATAATTCATTTGTATTGAACCATAGCCAACTACAGAAACCATCAAATCAAAAAACCTCTATCAATGAACATAATACATCCTTCAATATATTATATCAGGAGCAAAAGTACACGAGGACGTAAGCAATTAACTAGCTCCAGCACCTAAATACAACATTAACAGAAAAAATAAACCAAAATGTTCATTTCATTAGGTGGTAATATTGCCACCACTTTGCTGCCACAAATTGATGATATCAGTAGCCTGATTGAGGAGTATAATCATTTTCTTCTGGGATATCCATGGCTTGCTCTCTAGAGTAGTCTTTAGCTCTTCCCAAGCATCCTTTCTTGGCCAAAAATAATATGGACTCAAGGGAACAGTTCCCTGTCCAGGAATTAACTGATCCAGAGCCAGACCAATGTTCTTCTCCATCCATATGAATTTTAACACCAACCTTGGCTTCTCCACTTGCTTCACCAGCACCTCATTTTTCTGCAAAAATTCAAGAAACATAGACCTCATTTCTTGCAAAAGTCAAGAAACACCCATTTCTAAGCCAAAGTCAAGGAACATCCTAATTTTTATGAGCAAAAAAAAATCAAAAAACACAAATCTCAATTCTGCAGAAATCAAGAAACGCTCATTTCTATGTGAAAATCAAGAAACATTCATTCCTCTGCAAAAATAAAAAAACACCTCATGTATCTGCAAAAATCAAGAACTATACTAAATAGAACAATTTATATCTATATATAAACACATGAACAGCAGTTAAAGAAAGAGAGATTTTAGACCTCAGTTACTTGGTTGAGGATTGGTTCTTCATCTGTTTCAGTTTCTTCAGCTTCAGTGGGAATTTCAGCTGCAAGCGTTTCAGGGGCTGCAGAAGTAACTAATCTTGGATTTCTTGAAATGGCTTTGATTTCTGGGTGAAGACTGGCTGGTGAGAGTAATAGATTGGATTTAGGATTAATTAAAAAGCTGGTTTTAATTGTCTTGCAACTGGGGTTTTGGCAAGTAAATGGTGAGTGTGTTAAAACACTACTGAGACCAGATTGAATTGTCACAGATAACATCTTTTTTGAGATTTAGAGAGAAAAAAAACTTATAAGGATAAAAAGTGAGTTATAAAGTTCTAAACAAGACCATTAGACCATGGTGATCTCTCTGTCTCCCTCTTTTCACTTCACTGATGAGAATGACCAGGTTTTGGATAAGGAATTTGGGGTTTTGGTGAAGAAGTTTTACAGGCATTTAGATTTGAGAATGGCGTTCGTTTTGGGCTAGGCCTAGATTAAAACTCAAATTTTATGACACTGTGGGTAATCCAAGCCCATATCTTTCTTTTTTCTTTTCTTTGAAAAAAAAAAAAAAAAAAAGCAGTTAAAGAAAGAGAGATTTTAGACCTCAGTTACTTGGTTGAGGATTGGTTCTTCATCTGTTTCAGTTTCTTCAGCTTCAGTGGGAATTTCAGCTGCAAGCGTTTCAGGGGCTGCAGAAGTAACTAATCTTGGATTTCTTGAAATGGCTTTGATTTCTGGGTGAAGACTGGCTGGTGAGAGTAATAGATTGGATTTAGGATTAATTAAAAAGCTGGTTTTAATTGTCTTGCAACTGGGGTTTTGGCAAGTAAATGGTGAGTGTGTTAAAACACTACTGAGACCAGATTGAATTGTCACAGATAACATCTTTTTTGAGATTTAGAGAGAAAAAAAACTTATAAGGATAAAAAGTGAGTTATAAAGTTCTAAACAAGACCATTAGACCATGGTGATCTCTCTGTCTCCCTCTTTTCACTTCACTGATGAGAATGACCAGGTTTTGGATAAGGAATTTGGGGTTTTGGTGAAGAAGTTTTACAGGCATTTAGATTTGAGAATGGCGTTCGTTTTGGGCTAGGCCTAGATTAAAACTCAAATTTTATGACACTGTGGGTAATCCAAGCCCATATCTTTCTTTTTTCTTTTCTTTGAAAAAAAAAAAAAAAAAAGAAAGGTAAGCATGGATTTATTTTTCAAAATAATGCCCAAATTGAAACACAAATTAAAATTTTCTTTTTTTCTTGCATGATCACATATAATTATTTGGTTGAATGATATTTTTCTTTCAACTGATTATGGTCCATTACAAGAAATTTTCCCTCAAAAATAATATCAGAAATTACACTTTTTAGAAAAATTTTCCTTCTTTTTAATAATAAACGATTAAGTGTGTTAACATTTTCCTTAAAAAAACTCATTTTTAAATTGTTTTATCAAGTTTTGATAATATTAACAAGTTAAATGAGCAAAATATTGAAAACGTTATGGGAGAAGGAGAAGGAGAATAGTTTTATCATAAAAATTTGGATTTTTTAATTTTATAAAATTTATTGAGAAATTACATCTATTTAAATAGAATTTAGTTTAGTTATGTTCAGTTTTATAAAATTAAATTGGTAAAATTGAAATCTACAATTTCTTTTCATTCTAAACACAAAAATATGATTTTCCGAATGAATTTCATAAATATTTTTGTAGAATTCCACATGGCATCTCCTTCTACCAAAATAAAAATAATAACTAGCCAACTCCACTGGATATAAGATGATAAATATTTTCAGTAAAAAGAAAATGACAAATAAAATTACAGTGCTAGTGAAATGAATGTACTAGGAAGTTTCCAAGCCAGTGTTTTACATGGAAGGCAGTAAGTGTATGATCCTCAATGGATTTTTCTTTTTTCTTAAATGCAGAATGACGAAATTTCCCAGAAATTATCTGTTCCTTTGCTTGAAGAAATTTAATAGGAACACAATCACTTTAACTCTGTTTCTGTCTCTTCATAAATATTTAGACTTGTAATTGATTTTATCACAATTTAATTTAATTTACATTAACAAAATACTTAATCTTGACTTAATTTCAGTCTAATTATATAGATATTGTCAAAATTTCTAGATATTTTAGTTGATTTCTTTAATATATTAATTATGAAGGTCTTATAGTATACTTTTAAATAAAATTTTCTTCTGTTATCATATAAGAAAATCATATTAAACTCTGTCATACCCATCTTATTAAAAAATAAGACAACATTAAATTTTGATTTTTTCAACAGCCATAAATGAAAATCAATTGTCAATTATAAGCATGGTTGTTGAAATTTAGGATGCTTCCTTTGAAGATATGGACCTCTGTTTGCTCCTTTTGCAACTTTCACATATATTGGAAACAAATCATTATCTTCTCCACTTAAAAGAGAAAAACTACAAAAAATAATTGCAGAAAAAGTATATACATAAATATAAGGCATGATAGCTATAACAAACAAGTGTATCAACCCCTTTTGAACTATATATACAAAAAAGCCCAAAGCAGTACTAATAAACAACACTCGGTGTAAGAATTTAGAAATTAAAATCTGAAAGCAACAGCCAGAGATTACGTTGGTGAAGGGTAGCTATGCAATATATTAAGATTGAGCATGAAAATATTAATATCTAATCTCCTGAAAGAATGGTTAGCTAGCTTGCATTGGCCACTCCATTTTCCAGTTTTTGTGAGGGAAAGACATTACCTTTAGAAGATATATGGCTACTAAATTTTCAAGAAAAGAAGAATGGATAAATATTAATGGAAGTGTCGCTGTTAGTTTTGGATAAAGGGTTATTTTTTGTGGGCTTAGCTTAGCCTGACACGTTTACCGGTAAGTGATAATACTTGTCCAAAGCGTATCAGAATCAAGTGATAATACTACTTCTTGTTCATGTTCAGGAATTTTATATTTGCTATGCACGTGAATGTGAATTTTCAGTTTGAAGCCTAATACTAATAAAGCTGTAAGTTTTCATATTTTTATTAGCTTATAATAAGTTCAGATTTTCTGCTCTTCAATATTCAATTCTTCTTTTCAAATTCTCAAAGCAATTCTTGCTGTTAGTTTTGCAGAGGAAATGGATAATAGTAAAGAAAGGCAGTTTCTCTTGGGCAGTTTTAGAGGAGACGTTGTTGATGATGATGAAACAAGTAAACCATCATGCCTTAGTTTTCTAAGAAAAAAAATCAAGAAATCTTTAAATGAGCTGCAAGATTTTGCTGGGAAAGCATGGGAAATGGGTCGGTCCGATCCTCGCAAAATAATATTTGCAATCAAGATGGGATTGGCACTAGCAATTGTATCATTGCTCATATTCTGGAAAGGACTATATGATATTTCTCAGTACTCTATTTGGGCAATACTAACAGTCATTGTCATGTTTGAATACAGCATAGGTATATATAGTTTTTTTCCAAGAAAATTAATTGTTATTATTTCTGAATTCTGATTAGTTTTCTTAATGAGAATTAGTGTTCTTCTTATTAATAACTAATTAATCATATCATGTGCAGGAGCAACATTTATAAAAGGGTTTAATAGGCTTCTGGGTACATTATGTGCTGGAATTCTTGCTTTTTGTTGTGCTGAGTTATCTGTTCTGATTGGTAAATGGGAAGAAGTTATAATTGTTATTAGCATTTTTGTAATAGGTTTGTATCTCTACTGACACTTATGGTATATTATTTTTTAGACAAGTTATCAGCTTTCTGAACGTTTTTTCCTTTTCTTTGATAATTAGCATCCTTCGCGTCCTATCTAAAGCTGTATCCAACAATGAAGCCTTATGAATATGGATTTCGAGTATTCATACTGACTTATTGTATACTTATGGTAGCTGGGAACAGGACTAGAGAATACACTGAGGCAGTAGTGACTAGATTGGTGCTAATTGCAGTTGGTGCTAGTGTTTGTTTAGTTGTAAATGTGTTTATACATCCCATTTGGGCTGGTGATGCTTTACACAGCTTGGTGGTGAAAAATTTCAAGGATGTAGCTAATTCATTAGAAGGTTAGACACTTTTGTTCTGATTTATATGCATATAAATACATCATTTGGATGACAGATTAATTTCCGGTTCTCTTCTTCAGGTTGTGTTAATGGGTACTTGAAATGTGTTGAATATGAGAGGATCCCATCAAGAATCCTGACTTTCCAAGCTTATGATGATCCACTTTACAATGGGTATAGATCGGTGGTGGAATCTACAGGCAAAGAAGATACTCTGGTTATTCTCATACCCAATAACATATTGATGCTAATTTTGAGGCCATTATTTGATTAGCAAATGTGTTAGTACTTGTTTTAACTTAATTTTTGTTTATGCAGTTAGGCTTTGCTATCTGGGAACCACCTCACGGTCGTTTCAAAACGTTTCATTATCCTTGGAAAAACTATGTTGAAGTATCTGGTGCATTGAGGCATTGTGCGTTTATGGTCATGGCACTTCATGGATGCATCCTCTCAGAAATACAGGTAAATGTTAGCGATCTCTATCTCCGTAAGGATTAGAATACAAGTTCAATTCTTGGGGAAAACACATTTTGCTGGGAGGCAAGCAAAAAAAAAAAAACTTTGCATTCTAAAACCCCAGGAGATTACACCTCCCAATTATACAAAAAAAAAAAAAAAATTGTAAATGATTTTAAACTTCAGAATTGTTTATACCAATCAACATATAACTGTTATTTACATTTCTCCCAAATGAATATTATTGTGTACGACAGGCTCCAGCAGAAAGGCGGCAAGTGTTTCACAATGAGCTACAGAAAGCTGGAGCAGAAGCTGCTAAAGTTCTGCGAGAGCTTGGAAACAAACTAGACAGAATGGAAAAGCTAGGCCCTGAGGAAGACGTACTAAGAGAGGTGCATGAAGCAGCAGAGAAATTACAAATAAAGATTGATGAAAGGTCATACCTTTTAATCAAATCTGAGAACTGGGAAATTGGAAGACAAGATAAGGAATTGCAAGACCCTCAAAATGTTCTGAATGAAAATATGCAATTGGGTTTTAAGTCCTTAAGTGAAACTGTACTAGACTTAAGATCACTTTCAGTTTGGACACCTTCTTCAACTTCAACTGACTCATCAGGTAACTTGTTCAGGAAACAAACACCATGGCCTTCTTCAAATCTTTCTGTTGATGGTGGTATAGGGATTAAAGAAGATGAGTGTAGAACATATGAGAGTGCAAGTGCTTTATCTTTAGCAACATTTGCTTCTCTTTTAATTGAATGTGTTGCAAGGCTTCAAAGTCTTGTAGATGCTTTTGAAGAACTAAGTGATAAAGCAGAGTTTGTAGATCCTACTGTAGACTCTACAACAACCAAAAAGAATGCTAGATGTTGTGAGAGTCTGTTTAGATGTTTTAGGTTTTCAAATTGAGATGTCATTAATTACTTTTTAGCATAAGATCGTGAGAGAAATTTTTTATGGCCTGTACGGTAAAATTATTATTATTATTATTATTTTTGTACTTGTTAAGTGTTTTAGTAGTTAGTAGCTTTTCTAATTAACTTTTTTATAAAACGTTACCTTAACCTTTAAAAAGTTGTTCAAACGTTATATTACCAAATGGAAATTACGTGTTTCTCACTAAAATTTACGCTCACAACTCCAACGTTAGTAAAACAGAAGTTCATTAATAGCCTCAAACTTAAATATTATATTACTAAGCCTATGAAATTAAGCTGCCATGAAAATTAGAAACTATACAATGTTTTGAATCATTTGGAGGAGCATCTCCCCCAAAAATTTTTAAAACTTTTTAAAGAATATCCTTATTTTTTTATTATAATAAAACAATAACATTTTTTTTATTTGTTTCAAATAAAAATATAAACAATAAAATTAATATGTAACAATATCTAATTGGATTAGTTGAATTGATAAGAACCATAACAGATTGTAGCTGTCAAATTAATTTGGTCACTAAAAGATTTTTCTAGACTATTCACAAGAAAAAAGAATTAGGATTGACCGTGAGAAAGAAGAAAATCAAGAAAGTGTAGAGGATAAAGCGTCCGAGTTAAAGTCAAAGGAAAAGTATCTTCAATGCTTATTTTCATGCCCTTTCTTGTGAGGGATGCATGCGATTGAGTCGATGGTTCCGATCACTCGGGGCAGTTGTACGGACTCTGATTTTATTGTCTGTCAAACTTAAATGTGCCTTTTTCACTTAAGCGAGTTTTTATTAGTTATCAAATATATATTTAATAATTTAAAGAATATGTATAATTATGTTTAAGTTGAAGTTTTATACTTTTACTAATCAAAATATTTAATGGATTAACCTAAAATGGAAGGTACTACTAGCATTTTCTCGTAAAATCCAGGTCCAACTTTATGAAATGAACCACTAATCTTTCATGAGGATAAAAAAATAAATGTCTAAATTATTTATAGGGAAACAATAAATTAAAAAACTAGTGTGGCAGTCTACAAAAAGTAGTTAAGGTATGCTTAAGTTCATCTAAGATCGATGTTTTGTGAAAAACTACTTAAAAACAATCATGAATCTCAAAATGAAATTAATTGATAAAGTGCTTGAATTCAACAGATATCTCTACAAGATCAATCTTTCTAACACGTGAAAAAGCATTTAAAGAACATGTATGAATCTTGAAATAAAGTTAATTTTGGACCAACAAGTAGTGTGAAATATTAAAAAAAAACACTGATATGATCATGAAAATGGAGTGGTCTGCGGGATTTATGACAAAGATAATGAGTAATTGCATGCACATGTCTTTCCCAGAACAAGTAAAAGTCTCACGAGATCAAATAATTAATATGATCGTGAAGAAGATTGAGTTATCTTTTTAACATTCAGGGAACAAAAAAAAAAAAACTATGAAAAAGAAAAAAAAAATCCAGTCTTGTAGATTCTTGTAAAATAAGTGAAACACACATAGTAAATTTGTATTTAATATCAACTAACGAGTGCATGAACTTTAAAAAGAAACATTAAAACAAAAACAGGGAAATATATAGTGTTTGAATCCAATCCTGTTTCTATTGATTATTAATTAAAAGTACTGGCTTGAAAAAAAAAAAATATTTTTTACTGTGAATTTCTTTATTTAATGACTCAAGGCTATCAATGACCTATCCTATTTAGATATGTTTTTGTTTGGTTCTATATCATAAGTGATTGTAAATGGTCTGGCTTATGTTTTAGACAAAAATGTCCCTTCAATGTTAGATTTGGACCACTATTTCACCTCCCAACTGTATTATTAATGCTTTGAGGTTTGATAGCCGTTAATTATAAAACCATTTTATTTTTTATTTTTTTAAAAAAAGTATAGTATAGGCTATGTAGACAATTATCTTTGGTGGTGGGATTTCTTGATACTGTTGGTGGTGGTGTGCCCCCTGTGGGATCCACACAGTTTGAAAAGAAAAAAAAATAATAAAAAAAAAAAACGTGCTATTTGAAAAAGCAAAAGGTTGGTTGCCAACTATTCAAAGGTCGGCAATCAACTACAAAATTAATGGAGAGCCGTGTGTAACACACGACTCTCTCATTCCCTCTCCTATTTATAGGAGAGGATGTTTCTCAGTTTAAATGTACCAACAAAACGTGAGAGAAGAATTAGAGAATTCAGTTTTAAGAAGGGTTCTTGAAACTAAGGGTTTAAAAAATAGTGAAGATTATTAGGGTGTTTTTAGAAAACACTTGTGAGTGCCACTATTTTGTATTACTCTTTTTGTAAGCCTACTATTTTAATAGTGGAAGAAAAATATTCGGAGTTGGTACCGTGGACGTAGCCCTAAACAGTTGAGGGTGGGCTATGTAGACACATTATCTTTGTGGTGGGTTTCTTGATACTTTGGTGGTGGTGTGCCCCCTGTGGGATCCACCAACAGTTTGAAAAGAAAAAAAATAATAAAAAAAAAAAACGTGCTTATTTGAAAAAAAAGCAAAAGGTTGGTTGCCAACTATTCAAAGGTCGGCAATCAACTTACAAAATTACATGGAGAGCGGTGTAACACACGACTCTCTCCATCCCTCTCCTATTATTAGGAGAGGATGGTTTCTCGTTAAAATGTACCAACAAAACGGTTGAAGAGAAGAATTAGAGAATTCAGTTTTAAGAAGGGTTCTTGAATAAACAAGAGGGTTTAAAAAATAGTGGAAAGATTATTAGGGTGTTTTTAGAAAACTTGTGAGTGCCACTATTTTGTATTACTCTTTTTGTAAGCCTTTACTATATTACTCTTTTTGTAAGCCTACTATTTTAATAGTGGAAGAAAAATATTCGGAGTTGGTACCGTGGACGTAGCCCTAAACAGTTGAGGGTGAACCACGTAAATTTCTGTGTGTCCCAATTTTAATTTTTCTGCTGCTTAATTATTCTCGTATTTTTATTGCCGGTATCCTAACAGATACAACTTCAATTAATTTTGTTTTTGGGTAGCAACTGTGTAACTCCTTTTCCATTCCTCCTCTTAGAAAATTTTGTAGTTAAGTAGCAATTTAGTTAAACGCAATCTCCCAAGTCGATTTCTATTTGAAAGTCATCGAATTCTTGTGGTGGGTACTAGACAGTACAATAACATATTGATTTTTGACAAGTTCCCCTTCGACCGGCTTGGAGGGTGATTGAAGAGACTTAATTCCTGTTGTTTGGCATTGTTTTTTTTTTTTTTTAGTTTTTTTTTTGGACAATTATATATGGTTCTCCTCTTTTCCATCATGTTTTTACTTCAAAAACAATTTTTTTTTTTAAACTTTTTTGCATGGTAAGTTATAAGCCCAATAACTTAATTATAAGCCACTGACTAAGCCAAAGCCAACAAAGGTTTTATAATTGCTGTGTCATTTTACCGAAAAAAGGTTCAATATGTTTTGGAATCACCGTTGCCAGCCACTATGCATGGTGGCCGGAGAGTTTCACCGAAATTGAGCAACTTTCATCCCTATTTGCTCGTAATTCTACGGGTGAGTCCATTTTCGTCATTAACTTAATGACTTGATAAGCCACTACATCAAAAATGGCCTCAATAGCCACCTCACTGCCACCATTCATGGTAGCTCTCCATGCTTCAACCAATCATGAAATTGATGGAAGGGAAATGCTCAGAAGGCGAATAGGAATCAATTGAAACCCATCTTGCAGTCCACACTTGTTGTGAACAGGGCGATTCGTCGGAATCTATAATTCTTTTAAAAACTGAAATTTCAAACTGCGATTATATTATTGTTGTGGCGGTGCCCGCTTGGTGGAACCCATATTTGAAAATAAATAGAAAAAAAAAGAAAGAGAAGAAGAAAACGTGGTGGGTCCCTCCGACATATGGGACACACACAACTTGAAAATAAAAGAAGAGAACAAAATTTTATTTCGGTGGATGCGATTTGTTTCACCCGTCCACCTCTCCTATAAATAGGAGATGATTCAGTTCATTTCAGCACACCAACAAAAAATAAGAGAGATTTTTAGAGAGTTCTTCAGTTTTAGAAAGGGTTCTAAAACTAGGGTAGAGAAAATAGTGAAGATCTTATAAAATAGGGGAAGCCCGACCAATAATATTTGATCATTCAGTTATCATTTTCAGCACAACAACCAACAAAAAAATAAAATGAATTTTAGAGAGTTCCTCTCCAGTTTAGTAAAAGGGTTCTATAATAACTAGAGGTACAGAGAGAAATTAGTGAATATGATAATTGGGGTGTTTACTTTTTGGGAAACACTTATTTCGTGTAGTGTCACTAATTTCTGTTTCAGTTTTAGAAAGGGTTCTAAAACTAGGGTAGAGAAAATAGTGAAGATAATTTGGGGTGTTTTTTTGGGAAACACTTTTGAGTGTCACTATTTCTGTATTGCTCTCTTTGTAAGCCTACTTTTTTAATGGTGGAAGAAATATTCGGAATTTGTTCCGTGGACGTAGCCCTAAACAGTTAAGGGTGAACTACGTAAATATCTGTGTGTCATATTTCTATTTTTCCGCTGTGTAATTATTCTCGTAATTTTTTTGCGGTGAGCCCTAACAAGTGATATCAGAGCCTGGTTCCAACAGATCCAACCAGGCACCGGATCGGTGGATATATTTTGAAAATAAATATACCACGACAACGAAAAAATTACGACGAGTCCATTGGTGCAGTCCGTCCGAAAAACAAATGGGTGACAGATTACTAGAATTGGTACACACTGATGTTTACTCAGTAGGTGATAGATCCTTGAGTGGTTGCTCATATTAAGTCAACTTTATTGATGACCTTTCTAGAAAGGTGTGGGTTTTACCATTAAAGTCAAAAGACCAGGTGTTGGATATGTTTAAAGTCTTTCATGTCAGTGTTGAAAGATAAATGAGAAGAAAATTGAAATGTGTTAGAGCTGATAATGGTGGTGAGTACAGAGGACCATTTGAGAAGTATTGCTCAGAACACGGCATCAGACTTCAGAAGACAGCTCCCAAAACTCCACAACAGAATGGAGTTGCAGAGAGAATGAACAGGACCATTGTTGAAAGAATTAGTTGTATGCTCTCTCATGCCAAACTTCCGAAAACCTTTTGGGCTGAAGCAATGAGTACTATAGTTTACTTGATCAACCTTTCACCTTCAACCTCCCTTAACGGAGATGTTCCAGAAAAGGTGTGGTCAGGGAAAAATATTTCTTATGATCATCTTAGAATATTTGGCTGCAGGGCTTTTGTTCATATTCCAAAAAGATCCAAGCTTGATTCGAAGTCAAAACAGTGCATCTTCTTGGGTTATGGAAATGATAATCTTGGATATAGATTATGGGATCCAGTTGAAAAGAAGCTCATCAGAAGTAGAGATATAGTATTCCTGAAAGACCAAACCATTGAAGAATTTGAGAAAAATGAAAAGCCAAAGTCTATCAATGAGTTTTCTATTAGTCTTAATGTAGAACCTCATATAGAACCACAAAACGATGAAGAAGATGATGGTGAACCTGTTCAGAATGATGCTGAACCAGCTCCAATAGAAGAACTGCCTCAATTGAGAAGATCTACGAGAGGCAGGATACCTTCCCAGAGATAGTCTCCTAATGAGTATGACTTGTTGACTCAAGGAGGAGAATCAGAGAACTACCAGGAGGCAATGGAAGATTGTAAAAGGAATGAGTGGTGGAAAGCCATGCAAGATGAGATGGAGTCCTTGCATGAGAACCGTATGCAAGAATGAGATGGAGTCCCCTTGCATGAGAACCGGGACGGACTTATGAGTTGGTGAAACTGCCTCAAGGTAAGAAGGCACTGAAAAACAAATGGGTGTTCAGGTTGAAGACTGAACAGAACAACTCACAGCTGAGTTACAAGGCAAGACTGGTTGTGAAGGGATTCGGTCAAAAGAAAGGAGTTGACTTTGAAGAAATTTTCTCACCCGTAGTCAAGATGTCTTCTATCAGATTTGTGCTCTGTTTAATAGCTAGCTTGAATTCGGAGATCGAGCAACTTGATGTAAAGACCGCTTTCCTCCATGGTGACTTAGAGGAGGAAATTTATATGAAGTAGCCAGAAGGGTTCAGAGTCAAAGGCAAAGAACACTTGGTGTGTAAATTGCAGAAGAGCTTGTATGGCCTCAAACAAGCTCCCAGACAGTGGTACAAAAAGTTTGACTCTTTCATGGTAAATCACAGGTATCAGAAAACTACTTCTGATCATTGTGTATTTGTGAAAAAGTTCGTAGAAGGCGACTTTATCATTCTCTTATTATATGTGGATGATATGCTAATTGTGGGACATGATGCTAAGAAAATTGAGAGCTTCAAAAAGGAGCTTGGAAAATCCTTTGCCATGAAGGATTTGGGATAAGGATGCTTTGGAAATCGCTTTGGCCATGTAGGATTTGGTGATCGGAATAACTAGATGTCTCGGAATGAAGATCCTCTAGTAGATAAGGAAAACAGAGAAAGTTGTGGCTATCTCAAGAGAAAGTACGTAGTATCGAGAAAGTTCTCAGCAGATTTAACATGTAGGCAGTATGCGAATACCAGTTTGTATCTGCCGCTTGCAGGTCATTCAAAGTTAGTCTCAGTCAATGTCCTTTAGAGGTGGGAAAAGAAAAAGGAAAGAACTGAAGAAGATTCCTTAATGCATCTGCAGTTGGCAAGCTTGATGTATGCCATGGTAAATGCACAAGACCAGATTATTGCTCATGCTGTTGGTGTTGTTAGCGCGATTTCTTTCAAATCCAGGTAATAAGAAAACACTGGAATGTAGTGGAAATGGATTTCCCAGGTATCTTAAGGGCACTTCCAAATAATCTATCGTTATGTTTGTGGTGATAATAGATACCTATGCTAAGATGGTTAACAGATGCAGATATGGGTGGTGATGTTGATTCACTCGCAAATCAACTGTCTGGATATTCTGATGACGCTTGTGCAGGAACAGCAGTTTTCTTTGGCAATCAAATTGCAAAATGCATTGGGCACTCTCATCCATTTGAGGGCGGAATAGTATCGCCATTACAGGAAGCTAGCAAAGTGAATCTCTTGTGGATGAAGAAATTCTACAAAGAATTGGGTATGGAACAGAGAATAGCATTCTGGTCTATGTGATTAGTCAAAGCGGCGATACATCTCAGCAAGATATTCGACCTTTCATGTCAAAGGTCTTAAAGCACGATTGATTGTAAGGTATCATTGGATACGTGAAATTGCGCTTGGAGATGAAGTTATTTCAGATTGGAAAAGATTCACACTAATAATAATGGCGCTGATATGATGATAGTTTACCTAACGAGAAGCTTGTCACTTGTAGATATAGATAGCGCTGGTATGGCTAACGTCCCCACTTGAATGTGGCAATGGGGGGAGAATTTTGTTTGTGGCGTGTACCTTACATCAGTGGGACTCACATTTGAAAATAGATAAAAAAAAGGAAAGAGAAAAAAAAAACGTGGTGTGGGTTCCCTCCGATTATTATGGGACACACACAATGTTTGAAAATAAAAGAAGAGAACAAATTTTATTTCGGTGGATGCGATTTGTTTTTCGGTTGTACAGCGTGTATTAATTGCGTCCACTCTTCTATAAATAGGAGATGATTCAATTATTCAGGCACACCAACAAAAAATAAGTAGAGATTTAGAGAGTTTTCAGTTTAGAAAGTGGTGTTTCTAAAAACTAGGGTAGAGAAAACAGTGAAGATAATTTTGATGGTATTTTTTGTGGGAAACACTTTTAAGTGCTGAAGCTTGTCACTTGTAGAAAGATAGCCGGTATGGCTAACGTCCCCACTTGAATGTGCAGGGGGAGATTTGTTGTGGCGGTACCCACTCAGTGGGACTCACATTTGAAAATAGATAAAAAAAAAGGAAGAGAAAAAAAAAACGTGGTGGGTCCCTCCGATATATGGGACACACACAAGTTGAAAATAAAAGAAGAGAACAAAATTTTATTTCGGTGGATGCGATTTGTTTTTCGGTGGACGCGTGATTAATGCGTCCACCTCTTCTATAAATAGGAGATGATTCAATTCATTTCAGCACACCAACAAAAAATAAGAGAGATTTTTAGAGAGTTCTTCAGTTTTAGAAAGGGTTCTAAAACTAGGGTAGAGAAAACAGTGAAGATAATTTGAGGTATTTTTGTGGGAAACACTTTTAAGTGCTACTATTTCTGCATTGCTCTCTTTGTAAGCCTACTTTTTTAATAGTGGAAGAAATATTCGGAATTTGTCCCGTGGACGTAGCCCTAAATAGTTAAGGGTGAACCACGTAAATATCTGTGCGTCATATTTCTATTTTTTCGCTGTGTAATTATTCTCATAATTTTATTGCCGAGGCCCTAACAATCACACACAACCCAAAATTAAACAACTTGTGGTTAATACAAGGAACGTAAGTCTAGAGTATAAGATCACCGGAACCCATGGCCATTTGGCCGAAAACGGAACAAAAATGGGAAGAGGAGTTATTAGCGTTGAGAGAAAGGGGAAGGAGATGAGAAAATTAATTTCTCTCTCCTGCTCCATAGGCTAAAGGCTAATCCGTTGGATTTGAAATTCAATTTGACTCAATTTTGATTTATAAAAAATTCATTTTGGTTGAAGGAGCCTTATTGGCTTGTTTAAAACCGTTGACTTAATGTTTTACCTAGGTAAATGTGAAAAAAGAAAACATATCTTAATGGTAGAAACATGACGGAAGGAGAACCATTTATAATTTTCCTTTCTTCTATTTTTCCAATTCCCATGTTAAAGGTTTATATTTTCTAAAAAATCTTTAAATATATGTATATTAATATGATTTAGTTTTTATTAATAAAGCTTATTATCAAGTTAATTGGAATGAAGTGATTGAGTATATTTTTTCCTATTAAAAGTCTCAAGTTGCAGCTGTAAATATAAAAATTGTCACTTTAATAGAGTGGTCTCTAAATAAATCCGTCGTAAATACGGTATTTATAGATCTTAGCATTTCATCAAAGTTTGAAGGGAAGTTTCGGTCTTTTACTTAACAAAAGACTTAATGTTACACGGTATTTTAGAACATTTAAAAATGTAAACGTGACAAACATCCTGGAAGGAAATCATTTCATTCCATATCTCTGTTAGAAAAAGCTATACTGATTAAAATCGAAATCAATATTCATGTATTTTGTTTGCTTGCCTCTTTTACCCTATTGTAGGGAAGAAAATAACAGATAGGTTCATCTACCGGTCGTAACTACCTTTCCAACCCGCTAACTTCCAGTCTCTCAAACGTGAGATAATGTCACCGTTTACAACTTAGATCTATCCGTGTCATCTCTGTTGCACCATTTCGCAAACTTTGTCAAATCACTAGCTCTTTCGAGTAAATATCCACTTCTTTATAAAACCATCACCGCTTGTTTCGTTATTTTTATCATTTTCATATTGTCTGTTCTAACAGTTAATCTCCTTGTTTGTTAAAGAAATTAAATTAATGGCTGCCAAGATTGGATCTCTTAGGCATAATTTTGCAGAAACTAGTAAAGAAAGATTGCTTTCTCGAAATAATATATATTCGAATTTTGGCCTAAACAGCTCAGAAGGCGGAGATGATCAAGATGGATCATTTAAATGTCGGTGTTTTCTATCATTTTCTGATTGGATCATCAACTTATGGGGTAGAACAAAAGCTGCTGCTATTGAGTTATATAACATGGGTCGTACAGATCCTCGAAAAGTTGTGTTTGGTATCAAGATGGGGTTGTCACTTGCTCTTGTTTCTCTTGTTATTTTCTTTAAAGAACCTCTCAAGATCAGGAATGTTAATCAGTACTCTATCTGGGCTATTCTCACTGTCGTTGTAGTTTTTGAGTTCAGTGTAGGTGTGTTCATCTTTTATTTTTTTTAGTGTTCTTTCTTTAACTAATCATATGACTTAATAATATAATATTGAACTGATGGTTCCATCGTATAATTCCAAACATAGCTTTCCTGCATAAAACAAACTTAATATTACCTTTATTTATATATATAACTATTAGTTTTCATTGTCTTTTCTTCTTTTTCTAGGTGCAACACTTAACAAAGGATTCAATCGTGCTTTAGGGACATTTTCTGCTGGTGGACTTGCTCTTGGCATTGCAGAGTTGTCCTTGTTTGCTGGAAAATTTCAAGAAGTATTTGTCACATTCAGTATTTTCATAGCAGGTGTATATATATACTATGATAACTATATTTGAAAAACTAAGTTTCATAACTTGATTAATTAATTTCTCTCGAATTACTGATATGGGTTTTCCATTTTTCAGGATTTTGTGCAAGTTACATAAAGCTATATCCAACTATGAAGTCTTATGAATATGGGTTTCGAGTTTTTTTATTGACATACTGTATAGTTATGGTGTCAGGGAGCTCAACGACTTTTGTCGAAACAGCTTTTTACAGATTATTGCTTATTGCAATAGGTGCTGGAATAGGCTTGGGCGTGAACATTTGTGTCTTTCCAATATGGGCAGGGGAAGATTTGCATAAATTAGTAGTGGAAAATTTCAGGGGTGTTGCAAGTTCCTTGGAAGGTTAGGATCAAGCCTCAATTTTTTCAAATTTCCTTATTTTCTCGCGATTTTGAAGGATTTTGAGGGTAATTAGAATCTTTTTCTTCCAAATTTTGGTTCAGGTTGTGTTAATGGATACTTGCAATGTGTGGAATATGAGAGAGTCCCTTCAAAAATTCTAACATACCAAGCCTCTGACGATCCATTGTACAGTGGATACAGATCAGCTGTACAATCTAGTAGCAAAGAGGAATCTTTGGTATGTAAACAGTGGAAATTTTTACAATTAAATTTTCGACCAGAATCACATAATTATGGACCCAGTTTATGCAGGAACTGAAAGGAGAAAAGACAGAAAATCTTATAGTTCCAGTTCATTTTTTATTATGCAGTTAGATTTTGCAATATGGGAGCCACCTCATGGTCCTTACAGATCATTCAAATATCCTTGGAAAAATTATGTAAAACTAAGTGGAGCCCTGAGACATTGTGCCTTCATGGTCATGGCAATGCATGGGTGCATTCTTTCAGAAATTCAGGTACAAATATATCCCTCTTTGTATATATATTTTTTGGTTTACAACTATTGGTATCCGAAAAAGTCAACTGGTTTCTGACTATGTCTAACTCGAATATAACTCTCCTAGCATCAAAATTTCCATACCAAAACTCGATTTTGAGACCTTTAATTAAAGAGAAAAAGTTTCAACTACTCCATCTCAACCAATATTGATTCTCTTAAAATTTATTTCAGCAGCACTGTTTTTTATTCACCAATATTTTCATTGAAAATAAATAAAATTAGTAAAACTGAAATGGCATCATTTTTATATAAAATTGTTACTGATTATTCTAATTAATCAAAATAATTTTTTTTATCAAATGTTTTTTTTTTTTCTTTTTCTTTTTCTGCTAGGCACCACCAGAAAAGAGGCAAGTGTTTAGCAGTGAACTTCAAAGAGTAGGTAATGAGGGAGCTAAAATATTGCGAGAGCTTGGAAACAAAGTTGAAAAAATGGAAAAATTAAGTCCAGGAGATCTGCTACTAGAAGTGCATGAAGCAGCAGAAGCATTACAAATGAAAATAGATCAAAAATCTTACATTCTGATAAATGCAGAGAATTGGGTAGCAGAAAAACCACCTAGAGAATTTGTAGACCCTGAAAATTTTAATGAAGTCAAAGACAATGAAGCATGGGATGTTCAGAATCAAAAATTGAGCAAAAATCATTCCATGCCAGAATGGATTTCATCAGACAGTATGTCTGAAAGACCAGTGTGGTCACAAATGTCGTTTACTGGTGTTTCTTTCCTTGCTAAACAAGAACCGAGAGTTTATGAGAGTGCAAGCTCTTTCTCCTTAGCAACATTTGTATCATTGTTGATAGAGTTTGTTGCTAGACTTCAAAATCTTGTGGATGAATTTGAAGAGCTCAGTGAGAAAGCAGATTTCAAGAACCCATTACAAGGAAAAACAGAGGTTGGATGTTGGACTAGACTAAAAAGATGGTTCCAGTTTAACAAGTAATTGAAATGTTTTCCCATAATTTCTTTGGTCTTGGAGAGCATACTTCAAGTTTTGATGAACCCTTTTTCTTGGTTTTTACTTTTCCCAATGCAAGAACCAGTAGAATAACTATTTTTAGATTATGATGAAATGTAGATTTGAAGTATTGTTCCTTTAAATTTTACTTGGATAATCTCAAATTTTGACTCAACTTTTAAATGTGCAATAGTTTAAACACAGGATTGACATATACTTTTTCCCTTAGGTCAAGGTCCCAATTTTTTAACTTTAACAATTGACTGAAAATGAGTATTGAGAGTGTATTTCTCAAAAACATCTTTTAAAATATTTACTCAATCCTTCCATTTTATGTGGAGCTAAGTATTTACTTCATCCATGAGGATCGAACCACTCATTCCAACACTCGTTGATTGACTTTCATAATTTTTCTTGACGTATTATGGCATTGGTAAATTTTACACCAATCATACTCTGATATCACTTGTTAGAAAATAAATAAAAATTGTATACCATTATCATAAAACAAATATGAATTTAATTTTTTAAAAGACTAGTTGAAAAAAAATATATAAAAACACATAAACTTGTATATAAATTTTGGCTTGCCTTTGTATAAAGACTCACACTTTTACAATTAGATAATTATATTAATATTTAATACGATATGAGAAATCGAAAGTTTGACGATTGGTCTAACCTTCTATCGTCAACCACGTGTGACCTAATTAGTTTTGTAACTTCTTCTAAAAGATGTATCACCAATTTAGTGAATATTATTTATGTAGCTCACATATTTTCTCAGTCCATAGGACCTCCTATATGTAAAAAAGAATTCTAATCTTTCTATTTAGTTGAATAGATAATTTGTTAAATACTCACACATTTAATAAAAAACTAGTATATCAACGTGCATTGCACGTGTTGGTTCTTATTGTAGCTACTCGTTATTTAATTTGTAATTTTTTTATTTATCCATAATATTGCTCATCGTTATTTTTTTATTTGCCTAATTGCTGTTTTAATTCATAAAACAATTGAATGCAATATTTAATAAAATATAAATAAATTATAAATATAATTGATAGTTAGATAAAATATTTACTACAATTGGATGATATACAACATATAATTAGGTTAAGATACGATAAAACTCAAAAATAGGATTATAGCTCCTAATATGACAAAACTTTTATGTTTGGGTTTTAATTTAAAATTTTAACTTCTGCAATAAATTTATAATTCCTAATTAAAATATGAAAAAAATTTCATAATAGGGCATTAATTTAAAATTTTAACTTCTATAAAGATTATAATTCCTATTAAGATACAACAAATTTCCATAATAGAACATTAATTTAAAATTTAATTAGTATAAAACTTCTCGATTAAATAGTGTATTAAATATAATTACTATTAAAGTTTTTTATTTCATTTTTAGCCAGTAAAATTTGAATTTAAATAATAAACTAATACTGTCAATCAAATTATAAATAGATATAAATAGATTATTGAGATATATTATAGATAGATATATAACTATAAATATGATAGACAAATCACATTTATAACTACTAGTCTTTTGCATGACATGCGTTGCACGTTGACTATACTTATTATATACTCACTTTTTTATCTATAAAATATTAAAATATAAGTTTTGTTTAGATTAAAATAAATATAAATGGTTAATTTATATTTCATTTTATCGTACAAACTACTTGCAATCCTATATCTTATATTCTTAATTCTATTTTTATATGATGATGTGGTCTCATAATAAAGTTCAACCAAATCTCTAGACCTAATCCTTTAGTCTTTAATTTATAAATGCAGATTTATAAAGTTTTAATAGATGCCCAAAAAGAAAATAAAGTTATCACTCAATCTCCAAATTAATATCTATATACAACTATAATGAAAAATAATAATAAATCATTTTTTACGAAGAAGATGACCTGAATTGATAATGGAAATTACTTTGGTTACAACGATAGTATTACTCACCTAGTGTATCAAATAAAGGAAAATATGCACATGTACACAAATTCTTGAAACCCCAGAAAGTGACGCAAATAGAAATATATATTTCTATTTTTTTTCCAGTTTCCTAAATACTATTTCCTTTTAAATTAAACAGATTTATAATATAAGAGAAAAAAAAAACCATCTATTTTTTGTAAGGGAGATATAAATCTCTTACTAAAATAAATTAATAGTTACAAATTATTCAGTAATGAAAAAAAAAATTATCATTAAGAATAAAACTCTTTCAAAACCCACCTAATAAAAAAAAGTTTCAATGTATATAGATGTATAAATATATCAGTAAAATATTATATATATATTTATAAATTAAAATTTTCAACTCTTTATCCTCCCATGTTTAATTATGTAAATTAAATTTGAAAATTTACTTTTTAAAAAATATATAAAACCCACCTAATGAAAAAAGTTTCAATGTATTATTAGTATGTTGATAAATATTATCAGTAAATAATAATATATATTATTTATAAATTAAATTTTCACTCTTTATCCTCACATGTTTTAATTAATGTAAATATAAATTTGAAAATTTACTTTTTAAAAAATATATCCAAATCAATCTTTTATAAATATAAAGACAAAAATAATTAATAAAAAAAATAATATATTTTCTTTTTTTCTCTTTTTTTGTTATCCTCTGCTCCTAAATAAAATATTATAATATATTATATTTAAATTTATTTTTAAAATATATATCCAATGAAATCATACCAAACATAAGGGAAAGAATATTAATAAAAAGATATACTTCTAATATCCTAAAAGAATTAATTTTAAGTAAAAAAAATAAAAAAAGATTCAAAATGTCTCATTTATCATATATATTTATTAAAAAATAAATTTTAGTAAATATGAAAAAATTAAAATTTTGAAATGCTTAATTTATCTATTATGTTATTTATTTAAAAAAAAATAAATTTAGTAAATATAAAAATTAAAATTTTGAAATGCTTAATTATCTATATGTATTTATTAAAAAAATAATTTTTTTTGGTTTGTTAGGAAGCCTGATGGGCCAAAATAACAATATGGACTATACAATAAAAAATAACCCTCCATTCACTAAATTGATGAAAATACTTATGGTTGAGGGGATTCGAACTCGAGACCTCTCACTCATCACATAAATAAAAAGACAATCAGACCACATATGATTAATTTTAAAAATAATTTTTATAAATATATCCAATCAACTAATAAAATATAATTTTTTTAATTGATTATAATTATGGTCATTTTAGAATATCTTAAATTTTATCGAAGTGCTATTTAAAATCTCATTATTCTCCCTATTCTCATATTTATACACAGCATAGGTAAATAAATCATCATCGTGCAATATAAAAAAAGGTTACAAGACAGATTTGATGTACGAGAAACCCATGGGCTTCCAGGCCAGCTCTGATTGGGCCTGATTAAACTGGACCTCCTTCAAATCAATTTCAAATTTGAAGCTTTATTAGTTACCATCGCAACAATTACAACAAACCAAAATTAAAAAAAGAAAATTAAACAAGTTCTCTCTCCCAGAGCTTCGTCAGAGGAAGCCGGCGGGAACATATTCAGATCGGTAAAAGCACTTTAATACTTCTCAATGTTTTATCTAATGATTTCTACTTTTATTTCCTCATCCAAATTTCTTAAGCAATCGGATTTATGTTCGAATCCATTGTCTTCTTTTTGGTTGCCGAGAAAAAGAGAGAAAATAATAGGAAAATCAATTTCTTACAATTTATGATATCGCACATCTTTCATTTTCATTGCTTATACGAAGTTGAAAATGAAAGTGGCCTCATCAGTGGTTAGGAGCTGTATCTGGCGCACTCGATTGGCTTTTTTTTTTTTTTATTTGGTTAAATTTTATTTTGGATTAATTATGTATGCAATCTTTTAATGTCTTTCCTATTTTCCTACATTTTCTCAGTATCCAGACAGGGAGTTATGCTTTAGGATTTAAAATTTCGTTTATTGCCTTTTTTTTATAATGCTCTTCTCGTTGTGCCACTGGATATAAATTCTAGGGTTTGGTTTAGATCTCAGTTTTAATTTTAGTTGCTTTGGAATATGAATTATGGGTCCTTGAGATGAAATGGATGATAGCTTTGTTGAGGTTATTGTTGGATCCAACTTTTAAGCAGCAGTTACATTTACTGCTTTGCAATTCAAAAAGTTGCTTATTGTTGTTAATTATGTATATCAATTTAATCGTGTTAGAATGTTGTAATGAGATGCTTATATTATTTGCACATTGTTTGTGGTGTGTTTGATCATTACTGCATAGGATTTTCCACCCTGGTTTCTGAATTCTGTTGGTCATGGTGTTATATTGCAGTAATTTTGAGATAAAATGTCAATGGTTGACGAGCCTCTATATCCAATAGCTGTTCTAATAGATGAGCTAAAAAATGATGACATCCAACTCCGGCTGAACTCCATCCGTAGACTATCAACCATTGCACGTGCTCTTGGGGAGGACCGAACCCGGAAAGAATTAATTCCATTTCTTAGTGAGAACAATGATGACGATGATGAGGTTCTCCTTGCAATGGCAGAGGAGCTGGGAGTCTTCATTCCTTATGTTGGAGGAGTGGAGCATGCCCACGTGTTGCTCCCACCTTTGGAAACGCTTTGCACTGTTGAGGAAACATGTGTCAGAGACAAAGCTGTGGAATCCTTGTGTAGAATTGGATCCCAGATGAGGGAGAGTGACTTGGTTGACTGGTTCATTCCTCTGGTCAAGGTGAGGAAATTGTGTTTTGCTCAGTTAATTGATTACGCTTTTTCTTTGAATAGAGATTTACCAAGTGGTGAATTTTCATCCCTGGCTCCTCACTGGGACACTCCATGCTCTTGGATATCTAGAAAAGTTTCCTATATCACTAGATTGTTAAATTCTGTGGTCTGGTGAATTGATTACCCTGTGTTATTTATCACATATTGCTTGTCAACATCTTTATATCAATTTCTTATTCTGAGTTTTCTCTAAATTTATTTCATGAATATATTTATACCCTGTGTTATTTTATCAGTAATAGGTCTGTAATATTATTGGGCATTATTTTACTCTGTTGGACCATTATGGTCTCCTTTAGTATTATATATGAGTGTGGTTTGTAGTATCCAATATGCTATGCTAGTGTCACC